TAAAAGTTGAGCAAGCTTCAAGCGAGCTTCTGTATAATTTAGCATTAAAACTGAGAAATTATCAACAGAAACGCACTGCCGCATAAAGCTGCTGCAGCTACCCTCCCTTCGAGAACAATCCTCCTCTGCTCTTTTTGATTTTTGAGGCAGAAGTACGATTTTCGCGAAGTAGATGCGGCCAAAATGGATTCCAAGCATGTTTTTGTGAGAAGCCTGAAACCCAAAGAATTATACCAAAAGCGGCATGAGCTCATTAGGTCTTTTATACCCTTAAGACAAGCTCCCTCTGCTGTGTTGTTTTTATTGGCAAAAGTAGAATTTCCACGAGTAGAAGCAGCCAAAGCAGATGTTCAGCAGTTCCCGTGAAATTTTACATTGAAACGATACAAACTGAAACTCAGGCTGATTTTCAGGAACTGTGTCATGTTTTAAAAAGCTTCCAGTACCTGAAAAACCCAGACATGTAAATTTTCCAAAGCGGCTTTGACCAAATTTCGTAAAGTGTCCCCGAACGACAACGTAGAGCTTTGCATGCTAGCAAAGATCGGTGAGTATACCATTGCTTATGCATAGAGCTCTCTCAGTTCTCTAACTTCTTTTGAACGCCTTTCCGCAATCATACGTTAGCTTTTGATTCCCTGTAGCGATTCTGAAACATATGGAATTGTTCACTGGATGAAGGAACCTTATGGAATCCTTCTCAGGCAATGGTCGCACACACCGACCATCGCAATCACGCGCAACTCTACATTTTGATAATTTCTCCCGATACATGAGGTCATTTTTAGGGGTGCCTTCATACCTCGCCGGCAGCTGCCGCTAGCAGCTCGTAGCAGCCGCTGGCAGCCGGTAACAGCCGCTGGCAGCCCGTAGCCGCCGCTGGCCGCTTTTGTCATAGAAGCGCAAAATCATTAAATTCTTGCTGTTTTAAGCGCAAACGCTGACGCTTTCCATCTTCCACGTTTTTTCCTCCCTTTGCGGCTAATCTGCAGTTCCACTTTCACACATTACAAAGTTATTTGTGATAAGCACCGTCCAAGGATATACTTGAAGCAGAACCATGCATAAAAAATAAACACCGCAAAAACTGGACGCATCCAAAGTCAGACGATCACACCGCAAAGAAACTTTGGCGAAATATGGTTCAGCTACGGAAGGGAAACTGAGCACCAATAAGATAACCAATCTACGGCAACAAGATTTTAACAGCAATGGCCACAAGTATGATATATGAGATCGAATTGCCAACAGGGAGGAAAAAGCGTGGAAGATGGAAAGCGTGGGCGTTTGCGCTTGAAATAGCAAGAATTTGATGATTTTGCGCTTCTATGACAAAGCGGCCAGCTGCGGCTACAGGCTGCTATGAAGGCACCTTTATAGCGATACTAAAGCTCGCTGAAACTTTCCATTGGATAATCTAGCAAAAAGGTCCTACTGTGAAGACCATGGCTCTAACCTTCTTTTGAGACCAGCCTCCTTCGCTTTTCTGCTTTTGGGTGCACAAGCATAATTTTCGCGAAGTAGGCGCGGTTAAGATGGATTTCAAGGATTTTTTTTTATAACTTAGCCTTGAAAACAATGAATCGTTCAGAAAAATGTCCTGCGGCAGTAGCGACCCTAGCGGTCGCTAGTAAGTGGGTTAGGGCAGATACACTGATAACTATTTGAGTGCAACTTAAAATGACAAGGAAATGGACTTCCATTTTCTCAACGATTTTTGGGGAAACGTAAGTATGTACTTGTAAGAGTAAGATCATGCTCCCAAGCAAATTTTTACAATGATAACTCTCAAATCGTCTACGGTGTTCTTCTTGCAGAGCTTCTTTACTTTTCTGCTTTTGAGAGCACAAGAATTTTTGCTTGAAGTGGATTTTGAGGATTTTTTTTTATAATTTAGCCTTGAAAACAAGGAATTCTTAATAAAAATCCTGCGGCAGTAGGCTACCCTACGGGTCGCTAGCAGGTGGGTTGGGGCAGATACATTGATAACTGTCCGCGCAACTAAAAATAGCAAGAGAAAGAATTCCCATCTTCTCACCGATCTTTTTCGCAATGCAAGTAGTAGTAGAAGCAAGATCAGGCTGATTTCAAAGTTTTATTTCAAGATCATTTCCATTTTCTCAACGCTTGGCGCAACGTAAGTACGTAGTAGTAGAAGTAAGATTATGCTCTCAAGGAAACTTTTCACAGTGAGTAACTCTTAAATCATCTACGCTGTTCTTCTTGCAACTACCCTACCCAGACACCACAGCTACTAAACATGAAGACCACCTCAGCAGTCATCTATGTAGAACAGCTGATTCAACCCGAAACTCAGGCTGACACTCAGGAACTGTGAAACGGCCGCTAACACACCGAGCTTCGCGATCATGCACAGTCCTATACTCTCCTTATTACGCCTGGCCAAAAAACGGTCATTTCTTAAAGTGAGACCAAAGCTCGCTCAAAGCTTTTTCTTGAACATTCCTAGCAAAAATGTCTCGTCGCATGAAACCTCTGGGTATTCAAGAGTGTATTTCAAGCGAGCTTTTGCACGATTTAGCATCGAAACTGAGAAGTCCTTAGCCTAAATGTGCTGCCGCATAAAGTCCTTTGAAGCTTTCCTTTCTTCAAGACTTATGCTTTTCAAAGCAGAAGTACGGTTTTCGCAAGATAAAAGCGGCCAAAATGAATTTCAAGCCTTTCCTGTGAGATTCAGCACTGTAACCTAGAGAATCATATCAAAAATCTCCTGCCGCATGAATACTAAGTCTTTTCTTCCATCAAGACAAGCTCCCTCTGCTGCGTTGTTTTTATTGGCAAAAGTAGGGATTTCACAAAGTAGAGGCCGCCAAAAACAAATGCAGCAAGTTCTGTGAATTTTCACATTAAAATCTAGTTGGAAGAAATGTGTTTTCGAGAGGAATTGTTGGGTCTTTCCTTCCAGCAAACCGAGCTCCCTCTGCTCATTTGTTTTTAGAGGCAAAAACAGTATTTTCACATTGTAAAAGCATCCAAAAGTAAGTATTGAGCAGGTTTTTGTGAGATTCAGCATTTAATCCTGGAAATTTAGCAAAGTGTTCCTAGAAATTTAGAAAAATGTACTACCGCATGAATCGACTGATTCTTTCCTTCCAATGAGACGTAGCTCCCCTGTTTTCCTATTTCCAGAGGCAAACACAATATTTTCAAAAACAAGCATTCACTAGGTGTACAAGCATTCAAAAGGTGAGGGTTAAGCGAATCCCCGTAAAAGTGATAGGTTATATTATCTTATTTTCCTAACCTTCATATTGTTCAAAATCATAATGTGCTTTCCGAAAACTAATGATTGTAAGAAGTTAGGCAGGATAAGAAGCAAAATGGGCGGCAGTTTTCCGAATTATGATAGCAACCGGGGGTCAGACATTTGCACTAATTCGGTAGTCTGGAATCAATATTTCGTTGTTGTTTGAGCTCTGCACATGACATGCACTTGATCCCCTTCTTGCTTGTTTATGAATGAGGAGGTGATCTTTGACGACTGTTGCCCATATTTGCACTTTCCATGCGGAGCAAGCTCTATGAATTGCACTTAAAGTGCATACAGTCTGGAAACTAACTACGAACGCCGTCAGCTCTACGTCGCTGTTACACAAACTATGTGGTTCCTCCTTGAGTGCATGCGCTCCCCAGTACTCTCTCGGCCTTTCTCTGCACATCCGCTTTAGTTCATGTATCACAGTTATATTTCGTCGCCGCATAACCTGGACTGCCCTCGTTGTCGCGAATCTGCTGTTAACACTGTAAGAGAACACATAACACAACGGTAAAGCATATGGGGGAGGAAAGTACCCTCGTCGCATCGCTTTGGCAGTTACCAAAAGATATTATAGTAAGATAGCCACTGCTACAGCAAATCTTACAGTTTTTCCTACAGAAATTACCTACATTTGCCAGTTTTGAGCTCCATTATGATTAGAGCAAATGTACCAAACAGACACAATCAACCCAAAAGCCTCCGCCCCCTCAAATTTCCTCGACAATTAGCTTTTTTTCACACAAGAGTAAAAAACATCTTTCACCAATCAGTTGGTTCATGCGTTGGCGAAGGAACTCTCCATTATGATAAAAGGTGTAATCATGATTGAAGAATAAATTTACTTCCTCCATTACATCACTTGAAAGTGCATTACGACGGCAAAGACAAAAAAAAATAAAAAGGCTAAAGGTGCCGAATAATATGTATCGTTAGACAATGGAAAATGAAAGAAAACAAAATTAAGATTGTTTTACTGTGATCGGTATACATATAATGTTAGCATTCAAAGATAATACAAACAGCATCGTGATGTAGAAAAATTGCACAAGCTTCAGGATGACTGAAGAAATAACTAATCATGATAAGAAAACTTCAAGATAACTCATTGAGGTATATCAGAAAAACAATTCTAGCGAGATGAAGAAATGTTAAGATCTTGAATAGTTCAGAATTTCGTCTATTTTGGATTGAGCATGAATTTTTGGGAACTCTTGCTCTTGTCTAACATCCTGTCGTGTCTGAGCCACAGATGAGATGTAAATGTTCATCAAATGAGGTAACTCTTTCCAAACTAAGTCTCTTTTCCCGGTGTTTCTAATGATCCTTTATTCAGGGTACTCAAATACACCCAAGAGAGGTTTTGGAAAAAAAGGAATAGATCATTATTACGAAAATGATCATGGAGATATGCAGAGTTGTTGAATATATTCAATCAGGACTGTTCTAACTTTTGGTAAAAAATTGAGAAATTTAACCCTTAAAATCATGCTCTCTTCCATGAACTTTCTGACTGCAGATATTGGAGAACGAACTTAGCAAAATAAAATGAAGCGAAAAAATACTACCAGGAACATAAGTTTAGTAATACAGCTCACAATTTCAAAAGAAAAAAATCACTGAACTTCACCGGAAATCACCGATATTCGCGTCGCACCGCCATATCATGGTTCAAAGTGGACAAATCTGGATTTAGGGATACCGTTCGACTCAGCTTGGCGAGTTACATCTTCTGATATAGCCCGTAGATTCAGAACTCGCCCACTCTGAATCAAAAAAAAAAGCCGCTACAACGCGGATTTCAATGAAGTCCGCTAGGTTTCGGTGACTTTTTGACGAATCTGGGTGCTTTTGCACTCAAAAAACGTGACACGAAGTATTGCTAACTGGAGTTTGTGGAGCTGAAGAAACCTCTCGTCGAGTGCTTGACTTCGAGGAAGACGCCGATCTAACATTTTTTGGTGTATTACCGCTCACTTTTTTCGTTTTCTTGGTGGATGGGATTTTGGAGGCAGAACCAGATAATCGCGATGCTTCTGGCGTTTCAAAAGTTCTTTTTCGTAAAGAGTATGGTGTAGACGTCTTCTGACTGTCTGGCGTTCTCATCTCTTTTGCTCTTCGATCTGGCGTATTTTCCGTGGATTTGAGAGCAAAGATACGACCCGACTTTCTTCTAAGCTCTGCTACCTCATCAGCTGCTTCGGGGCGATAAGGAGTTGGACGATTTTCACATCCTTGCTTCTTCTTTAGCAAAGGCGTCACCTTTTTTTCACTATCCTTTTCAACTGTCAAAGTTGCTTTCGGCGGTGATGAGTCGGATTTAGCAGCAGCCGATTCGATGACAGTCTTCCTCTCTTTGTAGCTAACTTCCGCGGAGCTCACTGTCGCAGCAGCACGCAAACCTTTGCCATTGCTATCGCCTTTCGGAGATTGTATATCACTCCGTGTTGTTTGTGACAATGCCGAAGAAGCTGGAAGCAAAAAAATTCAAGATTAGTTATATACTGAGCTAAATGATAGATTGATACATAAACCTTGCATGATCAGATCTTTCAAAAAAGTAATCAACTTATTTACACTATATACTTCTCTAAAGTGCAGTCAATGTCATATTTCATAGCATGCACATATTACTTGGAAGCGCAAGGTTTAGTCCTCCTATCGAACTTAACGAATCCGGTACTCGGAACCTTTGTGAGTTGACAAAAACTTTCGTGCGGGGCTTATGTTGTCTACTTAACAAACACTTAGCGTCTTCTTGTTTCATTCAAACAATGGCACTAATAAAACTTTTTACGGCTACGTCGAATTCGCTAGAAAATCTGTCGGAACGCCAAAGAATCGTACTTTTTAGCAAAGGGCTACAAAAAGAGCTAATTTGGATTACAATTTACCTGAAGACATGCAACTAGAGTTATTCCGTAATATCGAAGTTTCGACAGCACGGTTCCACATTTCGATAGGATCCTCGTCTTCTCCTTCAAATGATTTGAGAAATAAACTAGATTTTGCATAGAGAAAGGGAAAACCACACTAGAAAAATAAGGAATGTACAGGACGTTAAATTTCCCTCAGCTACTAACCTGATTCTTGTCCAGCCTCATAATGACTAGCCAATCTAGACCATCGTTGCAAAGTGTCACGACCTTTTGCGGATAGACAAGAAGGATCCTCTATCAAACCGGATACACCGCCTCTTGGAGGCTATAATCTACTGAGTAATGAACGTAGCAACTTATCTACAACCAAGTACCTTTGACATTTGGCGTTCCACTCGTTCACTTTTAGAAATGGATTCGATGCATGCATATATCTAAAAAAAATCCGCTCGATATAAATTTCGCACAAAGTTTCGTAATGTTACGGTAGATATAGAGTGCTAATCAAATTGAGCTAGGAAAACTTGATGCGTAAATCTCAAAAGAAATTGTAATTTGTACGGTGAGAGTGTGTTGGAAATAGAATTGTGGTGAAAATGTTTGACTAAGCCATATAGCAAGATTGAACGAACGCTATCGCACATAAGCATATAGTTCGCTCACAATACAATATTCCTCCAGAATGCAGGCAACATAAATTTAAACGCAAAACTTCAATCATCTGAAAAAAAAGAGTTATAAAAACAAAACGCACTTTTTCGGTAGTTTCAAGCTTGTTTTTAGGAACTTTCACACTGTTGAAATTCCAGATTGTGTAAAATCCTCGTATTGGATCTTCTTCGTAAAAAGAGCTTTGGTCAAGGGATTCACGTCTTGAAGAGCTGTTAGAACCTTAACAAACTGATAACATTGGACGCGAGGAAACTGTAGTGAACGAACCTCTGCTCCCATCATGTTTAGAGGTAAACGAGGTAGACAATTTGCGCGACTTTTTGTTCTTTAACCATCTTTGAAGCCGAGATTCGTACTCCGGCCAGAGATGAATACCTCGTGAAAGGACCCTGCAATATTCATGATCATCTGAAGCAGATTATAAAAATGACTTCAAAGAGAAGCGACTAGCCCCGGAACTTACTTGGGTAGAACAAAGAGCGATTGTCCTCGGGTGTGATCGATCTTGCTAATGCGGCGGTTCTTCTCACGGAATTTCGAGTCAAGGATGTTCTCAAGACTTTTGCTTTTGTGGACAAAATCTCTTCTAGAAAAAAGATAGTTCATTAAAGCAGAAATTGAATCGAGACACACAAAAATTTGGATAAAATAAGGAAACTATCCATCTACAATAGGAGAAATCAGTATGTAATATTTGGAGGAAGAAGCAATATTCTTGAACTCTGACTGATGACTGATGTCCACAAAAATCAAAAGAGGACTTCAAAGGAACGGAAAATGGAGATATTTGTAGTTACATTTCGATTTCAGATAAAAAGAATGTGTGAAAAGCCAAAAGCCCCCCCCCCCCCCTTTCTCCTTCCAAAGCATCCGAGTTATTTCCTCCACCCAGAAACACATGATCTTCATAAAAGGACGCATAGCCTAACTGAAGATAGTCTCTGCGGTCTTTCACACAAACTTAGAAGAAGATGCGGCTATTTAACTTTAGAAGAACACAATCTGCTTTCCATAAGGATACCTGCTTTGTAGAACATATTCGACAACATTGTTTTATAGAAAGTGCTAAGAGACTTTACTGTACCAATAATCACCTGTCGATCCCTCTGACGATCTTCCGCACTCTCCAAGGTTTTGGTAAGAACAGCCAATATCCACCATCTCGGATTATCATCTTCCTAAATATCGGGTATGAAGCCAGGATGGAAGTTTAGAGCTGGAACTGAGACACTTTTGAAGTGGATCGTAGAATTAAAAACGACCATAAGAGCTTAGAAAGGAAGATGGTGAAATCACAACTTTTAAATAATTGAAATTGCCGCCGCTGATGGCGCACTACACTGCCGCGAGAATGCAGACCATCTACGGGTGAAGCTTTCAGAAATGCTTTGCTGGATGAGTACATCGAGATTGCAAACTTTCTTCAAATCCTTAATCTCTTCAGATGTCATATGGGGAATCTGTTTATGCAGGTGATTTAACAGCGGGTAAAGCGAAATGGAATGTATTATAGGAACCTGTAGGAAATCCAAAATCAGGTTGTAACAAATGCTGAGTGTCTCGTATCTGTATCTTTGTTTGTTTGTTTTCTATGCTTGTCTGCAGCTCAAAAAATCTTACGCACGAATGTCATTTAAACCATAGACTTGGCTGTATTGCTCTATTTCAGAAAATCCGCGCGGTTGCGCCGCGGCTGCTGCCGGTCAGTCCCGTCGCTTCAAAATTTTTCCGAATTTTTCTTCTGTGGCGCCAAACGTTGCAGTTTTCCATGATGGAGAAAAACTAGCTTCTGAGTTTGATTGTAAGCGCAATGACAGGTGGCGCCGAATCTCCTGAATCAGGTGAGATCCTGCTAATTTGCAATTCGTTGAAGATGGTTGAACATCTTCTGTTTGAGACATAATAGTGTTTTTCTATAAATCCCGAGGAAATTGTATTGAAGCTTGTGTAGTGGTGTGGGTTTTTCTTCAAACAGGACAAGATGGTTTTATCTCTTTAACCAGTGCTTCACCTCTGCTTCGCAGAGGTTCGCACTGGCATCGTGAACCGTGGTAAACTCACTTTCTGAGAGCTTGTCTCTCAAATCATTGTTCGGTTTATTGCAACGTGAGCTGTAGTTAAAAATGAACCATACTCGCTATCTTAACCTCACATGATGTTTAGTATCGTAAATCATTCCTCACTGTAATTTCGTAACGGACAAACTCCACACAACTTCAGATTAAGCCGCTTATTATAAGTCATGATTAGTGCGAGCGGTGTGAAAATGCATTTTTCTTCAGTTGAATTCGAGATGGTTGATCATGTTCAAATCCCCTCACTGCGCACAGAACTCTTTTGCTGTCCTTACTGTTCATTGAAAAGGGAACTATTTCGCATGTGAAAAAATGGAGTGGGAAAAGTAAAGTTGATATTCCAAAAAGATTTGTTTCATGTAGAAAGCTTTGTGGTAGGGATCATAAGGCTCCGGCCAAACTTCGCTCAGAAGCGCTTAAAAGCACCCAGAAGCGCTCAAATCTCTCTAATCTCTCTTCACTTTCTCTATTCTCCTCGCATGAGAAAGTGAATTTAGAGAAATTTGCACGCTTGTGAGCGCTTTTGGGCTCTTTTGAGCAAATCTGGCCGGGGCTTATAAGAGGGTCATCCGGAAGCCGTTCGCATTGAAGAAAGGGATAGTGCAAAGTCACACAGTAAGAGGAACATACTAACTATTTGTAATCATCACTTGAAGAGATTGACGGCACTGCGAAAAGCGGTTGCAAAATTCACAGTGCTAATGGCTGCATTCCACGAATGTTTGACCCAGCATCCATGTTTCAGATTCATGGATATAAGATTGCAGCATATGCGAATATACGGTATTTCTCCTAAATGAAGCGTTACAGAACACGATAAATATCAACCTGAGCCACTCCTCGATATCGTCTTTCCAGGGGCAAAGCCACTTCGAGATGCGAAGGAGATATTTATTTACATGCACAGAAATTTCCGCGTATCAAGGAACATTCGAGCACACTGGCTGTTCGATCACCTGAACAAGACCGTAGAAATTGAGACTGACTGGCCCGGAGAGGTAATTTCTATATATTTTGTGAAATAAGCTCTTGCTGAATGTTTTCTGGCATATTTTCTAGTTTTTTTATTATTGTAAACTAGCTGGCTTGCCCGGCTCCGCCGGGCCTGCCAGCTAGACCCGTGTATAGGCTGTACCAACCAGCATCGGTCATGCGACGTCGCGCCAGCGGCGACTTGCGACGATGCGATGTGACGCGTGCGAACTCTGCCACGCGTTAAGGCACGTCGCACGCGACAATGCGTCGTCGCAAGGCATGCTGGCGCGGGACCGATGCCGGCTGATACAGCCTATACGTATGTTCCGAATAGAATTGGGACCGAACTTTGCACACATACACTTCGGGGCACGGAGCTTGTCACAGTCCACTTTTCGTTATCGATCGATGTCGATTTTACCGATTTTTTGCAAAATTTGAGCTAGGGTGCTAGGACTTTGCACAGGGGGGGGGGGTAATCGAGCATGCTGATCACCCCCTTCGGGGTGATCAGCATGCTCGATTACCCCCCTCTGCCAAATCCCAGCCCTCTATCTCGAATTTTGCAAAAAATCAATAAAATCGATACCGATCGATAACGAAAAGTAGCCTATGACACGCTCCCTGCCCCGAAGTATATGTGTGCCAAGTTTGGTCCAAATCGGTTCAGAAATAAAAATTTCTATTCCGCACATACGTACAGACAGACAGACAGACATACAGACAGACAGACAGACAGACATTCAGCTTTATATATAAGATTATTGTTTTTCCTTTTCTTCACCACATTAGAATATTTTTTTATTTTATGTGCGAAAGCACGTTGGTAACGAAGAAAATGTTTTTCGTTATTTTATATTCAGTATGTAACGAGACTGATTTCATCCACAAGCTTTTGACTTCACCATTTTTTGCTACAAAACGCACCACGTTCAGGGCGAATATAGCAATGAAATGAGCGTAGCTGGTATAATAGCCAAAGGTGGCTCTGCTGACGAATATGTCGTAGGCGAGAAGTTCCGAGTGTGTTTGGATACAAAGGCAGGCGCATCTCACGAGTATATATCTCACTTAAATGACTCGCAACTTTAGGTTACCTACATTTCTCGTTATTATCGTCATGTGTTTGTGCTCGATCTCAGTCCATCGACCATTGTCGCAGTGAGTCTCTCATCCCGTTGGTGCTGTTTCGATTTTTTTGTCTATTACTTTTAGGACGAGGAAAGCAACTGTTGTTTACATACAAAACTTTTAGAATGTCTTCGGCTTAGTATGGCATCTGTTGGCAAAAGTGTGAGTATTACCTGTCTCTGGTCAAGTTTTCAACTTACGCCTTTTTTGCAGTTTACTATTCCTGGCACGCGGCGCACATTTTGCCCACAGATATATGTCAGTGTCTGTGTTTTCATTCCTTTCCTGGCTTTCGAACAGGATCTGGTAAGTTGCGGCTATGCTGGTGTTTGCTCTTGTCGTCTACTATCATTCAAAAATGTGAAAGCCAGAGTTGCTGATTATAAATTTATTCCCACCGAATTTGGTCGTATCATCTATTTCTATTTTTTTTTCAATCTCCAATCTCTCCATAAAACCATTATATTGTCCTGCTTGCAATCACATGTTCAGGTGCTCGTTCAAGGGATGCTGTTGACTGAAAGCAGTATCAATATCATCCTTGATACAGTGACGGAGAAGTTCAATAACTTGCTGAATAACTTGTACGACTATTCGAAGGCCATACTGCAGAAATGGGGTGGATTGAAACGGCGGCATAGAGTCAGTTTTCATTTTGTTTTTGAGAAATAGTAATTGCTTCTTCCACATGTTTTGTACTTTTTTTTCTGCTCGTTTTTAGTTTTTTTTTACATCACAAGAGAAAATTCAAGTTGGTAGAGACATTCTCATGTTATTTCTGCGAATTTAATTATCTTTTCCTTTTCATCGGGCCTCAGCTTCTTGGTTGAATAACTACCTGAATCTCTGTTTTTTAAATCCATTTTTAAGAACAAATTCGATTCTACTTGCGGTGACATCGAATGCATCGGGGAATACGGAAGTACAAGAACCATATCAATCTGTAACGATGGGTCACCTAGCAAGGTAGCATTTTTCATTGGTCAAGTTATTGTTTCGATTTGTTGTTTTAGACTATTGCCAGTAGTCGCCCCAAAAGTGTTCCCAAACCGCCTCGTAGTATAATGGACTACGCCAAGGGTGTTTGGTAATCGTACTAATAACATATACCAAATTCTTCCACTCCAGTTCTTCACGTTCAGGACAGTAAGTAACTCTGGTGAAGACGAGATCAACAGTAGAAATCCACTATGTGATGGCTATATCCACCCTGAGTGGGCCTTGATTTTCATGCTGCGGCTTGGGCTTATAGCTGTCCAGATGATGCATGAGAATACGCAATCAAGTAAGTCTTTTTATCATGTTCTTCAATCATTTGCTTCACATCTTCTTTTCATTAAGATATAATTGTAATCACGGATGCCGTATGCGGCATGCCGGATGCGCATGCTTTGCAGCAGTTATTGAGTCAGTTGAGGAGTTACACCGTATCTTGCTCTTTCATTCAGGTAACTTTTCCTATTGTTTCATTTATTTTTCTTTGCACTTTTTACATTTCCTCTTCCTTTCACAATCTTCGTCGGACTGTAATTTCTGATTTTGCTTCACGAATCGTTTATAGTTGCAAGGGCGATCCCGTAGCGAAGCATGCTTCGGCCATGTGGCTTCGTGTGAACTGTTTCATTTCCTTGCTATGGCCACGTTTGGAGCTTACATACCCAATTGCCGATGCTCTATTGGAGTGGATATGAATGATATCAATGAGCCCTTGATTCCCTCTGACACGGAGGAAGAGGAAGATGAACAGGAGTTCAAGCCACTGAATCCATTTCACAGGTTGATGTTAGAGTTTCCTGCTTTCTCTGGCCATCTGATTGTTTGAAATCTTGCAGGGCATTGTTGTGTTGGTGCTTTCAAAATGCGCTTCAGGATAACGTTCATATAACTAACCTCGTAAACGAAATCAATCCGGAATTTGCTCAATTGTACAAAAAGTAAGTCATTGAAGTTTTCTTCTCATAAACGAATCAAAGAACTTTTTAGTGATGTTGTAAGGCATCGCTATATACGTTCGATTTATCGGAGTGCGTTGCATGAGATACTTTACATCAGGTTACGGGAAGGTTTCACGCTGAGACAAGGTTGCTTTCACGTATTATGTACCGTACTCCTCTTTTTCAAAAGGAAAACATTTGATCCTTTAATTTGCTGATTTGCTATTTTTCAGTGAAGCTTTGTCAAAATGATACAAAAATCATGATTGTCCTGAGTATGCCATTCCGTCCATTAGTGTTTATAGATTACACCATAATCGCTAATTGGCCCTCTGATAAATTGAAGAGGTATGTCGAAGATAAGTCACGCTTTTTTCCATCTCAGTTCGAGTGCATCGGCTTTGTCTTTGAGGGAGGATATTACAGTGGACTTAGTCCTTCAAGCTCCTTACCATGAGCTCAAGGATCTCCTAGCTGAAGGTCAATTTCCCAACGCTGTACGACAGAAACTTGTGAGATCATTGCGGAATCTAATTGATGAGTGAGTGAGCTTGGCCCTTTTATACTTCTTTTTTACTTATAGTAATACAGTATTTTATGAACAATTTGCATTGAAGGATATTAGAAGCTGATCGCGTCCTTTTGCACATCCATGCCTTCAACACGAATCCTGTATACTACAGTGTACCTGAAGGTGTTTCCAATCAAATACCAATTTTTACGGTTGAGGACCGAACTAAAGAGATGACTGTATTTCCTGGGTAGGTTGGAGATATGAGCTCTCGTCCTCTTAATGTGGAATGTTTGCAGAGTACAACAAGAAAGCGCAAGGTCCTTTGTTGGTTTCTGGAGTTCCCTGTGCCAGCTGAGCGATAAGTCATGGTAGGATCTTTTTCGCGTTCTTGTTTTCACTCAATCAATCTATTTGCATCTAGGCAGAAGTGGGTCCACATGCATGCCGAGCGGATCGTTTTGAGAAGCTCGAATTTGCCCTTCAACATGTTCAAGTCTAAGAATGGAATCAAGGTAGTTGGATTTGAACGTTAAATTTTTTGTTATATAATTAATGTGCACTTATTGAAAATAATTGCTTTTCTGAGGGAATTTTTGAATAATTGTATCCTGTTATAATTTTTTGAAAATTTAAGTATAACGAAGTGATTTACTGAATATTCAGATCGACTGCCGCGCTGCTGAAGAGAAATTACATGAAATCCTTAGACAACAAAGTTCGTTTTGTCTTGTGCAGCGTCGCACCTACATCACCTTTGTTTACAGGTAACAATACGAAAATAAGTCGTACTCTTATTTGACCACGCAATTTCAGAAAAGACAGCGATGTGCCTGCATACTTCTACATGGTGAAAGTTACGCTAGAACCGCCCTGTCTAATACTGCGTACCGCTTTCTTGGGTGGCATTAGTAGCACTGAAAGAAAAAATGTTGGTAATGGCTCTAACCATTTGGATATAGTATGCATTTGTTATTCTAGATTGTGGATGCATTCCGTCGTCGGCTTCTTGATCTGCAAGTTATTGTCGATGGGAAAGAGGAGGTAGTCTTATTATAAAGCACTTTCCGCTAAGGTTCATTCGTTTTTATCCATTCAAGAAGGCACTGTCTTTGATTCGAAGACCATTGGAACGGATCATGGTAAGGTACAGGTCAATTCCGAAAGATCTGCAGACTATAGTCCGAGTCAGAGAGGATGAGTCTATGGAGGATCCTAAGCTGATTATATTGCACAATGCTATCAGCAAATATCTGGAATGCAGGTGCGCATTATACGTTTTCTCCTTTCATATGACTTCGAAAACTCGATGAGGGGATGATGTATATCGCATTTTTGCATACTTCTAATAATTTTAACGATGAGTTTCAGACGCCGAATATGGAACTTGCCGCAGCTGAATATGACGAGCGATCGCATCACAAGAGCCACAGCTGAATACATACTCAGCGTATTAATGCAGAGAAGGCTTCAAGAAGGTTTTCGAGTAGCATGGACTCACGAAGGAATCGTCGGCTTCTGTCGGCAGGTGAATCCCGCGGTTTCAAGTAGTGATTTGAAAAAACCTGCAAAAACTAAATGTTCGTAACTTCTTACTCCCCAACTCGGTGCTCTGAAAGTTGACATACATTCTGGGAACGCAAAAAATTGTTTTTGTATGTAAACAATTGGAATAATATTCTAAACATTCATAAACAAAATTATGTTCAATTCGGAGCGTGCTTGACGTCGCCCTTTTTTCCGGATAGAGTTGCAATATTGCCGAAAATTTGGCATGCATTGGATCTAATGTTTTTGTGGGCAAGAAAGCCAGGTTCTCCTCCCTAAATATTAAAAAATACCGCTTTTTCTCAAAGAATCGATGGAAGAAAGAGCGATCTCTAGTGCCGATCGTGCTCAAAGTTGTTTTATGCTAAAATCTACTTGAATAATATTTTTTTTACAACTTCTTTGCATAAACGTTTGCATAGATAATTTATTTCACTTAAATCACTCATTTTTAGGTTATCGTTCAATCTGGGCCGGCTCTGCAGCAGTATGTAATATTTCCGCCTACGAAAGCGGCTGTGGTGGTACGCGTAGATCGTGAAAGGCTGCCCAGCTTGTCTGAGTGGGTAATCATATTTATTTTGGATTTTCTAAAGCATAAAATTACAAATATTCCCGAAAACAAGGCGTAAACAGTCTCGTACGGCCTTCTTGTCTTCTGTAAAAAATCCCTTGGTCTTTTCGCAAGATGAAGTATAATTTTGAATAAATAAATGCGGACAGAGTTTTTGGGAAGCGGCATATTTGGGTTATAGCCCTCAAACCTTAAAGAGCTTTCATGTTCCAGAGCTTGTATTTTTGATAAAAATATAAATCTTGTTGGTCCTAGCGCTACTACCTACTAAATTTTTGTAAAAACCAACCAAATATTTTGGAAACTAAGTAAGATGCGCGCGGTTATTTGTAGCTCATGAGTTCTCAGTTTCGAGTAATCAATTTTTTCATCATTGTTTTCGTCCTAAGAAGTGAGTAACGAAAAATATGATTCGCTTTGGCAACCCCGGTAAAGGGTTACCTAGCACCTCATCGCATTTACGCAATGCACACGGCTGACTATAGCTATCATTTCTGTAGGCCACCCCTTCCGCTTTGAGAATTGCTGTTATGTGCCTCTAAGAGTGTAAGAACGCTATGGCGTCCGTAATGCATTTTGTTGATTTTCAACTTCCCATCAATCCCTAAATTTCCATAAAAGCGTACGTTTTCGCTGTCACAACCATCCGAAAATCGATTAGAATCTGTTGAATCAGCTGGGCGCAATGCACGCGTTCAGCGTTCCATTGATGTTATTCATTGGAAGGGTAGATTTGCGTCGAACGATGACGTAAAGCTGAACATACCGAGTTGATTTGCGTTATTTCAGTGGATGGGTGTTCCATAATGGAAAACTATCGCATTCGCCGACGCATTCGCTATACCGTACCTCGCCAAGGTTACAACAGCAAGCGCATCAGCTTGCTCTCAACCAGCTGCACAGCTATCGGAGGCTGGTGTCCGAGTGAGTACAATGAAAGGTGTTCATAGCTGAATAAAATGGGAATGCCCTCAAAATTATGGAAGAGTAGAGGTTGTTCCGTCAAAAGGACAGACAAGTTTTTTTTTTCTCACAGAAGATGATCGGCCATTAATGGAAAAGTCCTGTGTTTTCTATCAACTGTTTTTTTTTCAAGATCATACTGTGCTCGAAAGTAAAACACTCATCAATCCACACCTCGTAAAAACTGTCGAGGCAAATCTGGGTATCCTAGAGCAATCTGGGAGTTATTATTTTGATCGGGGGACTTGAGCTAATCCATTGCTTAGGCGGCAGCTCACATAAATTATTGATGGCGAATCAACCCAGCCCCTCGCTCTAAACAAGCGGACCAATCACAGTACTCGAGTACGGTAGTAAGTACGGTCTGGACCGGAGTTTAGACTTGATTTGCCTCTTTACGAATGAATATAATGAGCTGCCGTCTGAACAGTGGGACGAGGCCTCTCAACCAGTTCATAAGAAATTGAAATCCACCTGGACATTGCTTTTCGTTATTCTTATACCTATTCAGAGAGAAAGATCGTCAAAGCGATGGACGCCCATTGGTGCTGATCTCGGAATCTTGGTCGGAACCTTGCGCCGTATGCGAAAGCAAGGTTTTACAGGTATATAGAAATTGAGTTTTGATTGAAATCGACAATTTTCTGAACGAAAGTTTTGGCCAAAAGACTTCTTTATAACGTCTGCTCAGCTTTTTTACTCAACTTTCTGAACCACATCTTATCGATCATCCTGTAGATAGTCTATGGCTCAAAATTTTTAGAAAATTTTTACAGAACATGTTGGAATAACGCTATTTTGCATCACATAAGTTTATCACAGTCATCATATGTTTGTCTTCTGTTGCCGTTTCAGTTTCTATTCAATATAAAAAATTCTCTGTCTAATCTCTTAAAAAAATATGTGACCGTAGAGAAATTTGTTGATTACAATCCCCTTTTTTGATTAAAAGAATCGCCTAAACTCCCTCTATCGAACTCTGACCGATTTTTTACGTTGCAATGTTTTCTAGGCCCCAAACGTGGAATGTTTGAGACAAAGAAAAATTCATTTGTCTTGCTATCATCTTGGGTCTGGCACAGTGGCGTACCCTTTTTTTTTCGAATAAAGGTGCGGGAGGTCCGAAATCTTTTGGATGTTGAATTTTTGCGGTTTCATAACACCGAAGTTTTAGGGAAGGGGGAGGGGTGGCAGAAGCCAAGCCCTTGAAAAAGAATTTGTTCAGGGCTAATTTGAATTTTCAAAAATTTTCTAAAATTTTTTTGATTATTTAGTATAACGAGTCACTTGCACATATAACCCATGTGAGCAACTTTCACCCCCCCCCCCTCTACGCCACTGGTCTGACAATATGTCATTGATTTTTTGGGCTTCTCCCTGCAAGAATCACATCATGCGAATACGTTGGAACCGGTGAAACCTTCAGTTGTCAAAAAGTATACCTCTGAGCTTCCTAATTTATCAGTTTTCATGGTGCTCTTTTATCCCCCTCCCCTTCCCCTTCTGTTGTGAAACATAGTGATTTTTGCACATATGTGATCACTAGCTATGCTTTTCTTGATCCTAGTCTGGATCTTATGCAAACTATCGCGCAAGCGTGATCAGCAACTACGCATGTATGAGTACTGGGCAGCTCATTAGATGCCAAGTTTTTCGAGTCCCCATTGTCATTCTGCTGATGCATGCACCTCAGTTAATCGTTATTGTGCGATAATATACCGGTTTGTGTCGCATAAAACCATAACACCTCGACTGGCGTATCATCCTCGCTCGATTGTACATTGAATATGAGCACTTCATTGCGTATGCTATCGATGAACTTGGGGTGAATCGTTTGAGCGCTCTTCGTTGTTCATGGATCGATAGTCAGTCAATTTTCGATGAAACAGATCTGAGATAATTCATAGATGCAAGCTTTCCCATTGGCGGAAATCTTGAGGAAAGGGTATCCTCTAGACAATATCGCTCGTAGTTTGCGAAAAATAAGGGCGGCAGCCGCTGGAGTTCGCCGACTTTGGAGTCGCATTGCCATATCTTGCTTTAAAATGGGCAAATACTGAATCCGAGGGCACCATTGAACTCAGCTCGACGAGTTGTTTATGGATGTGCCTGCTTGTAGGCGCACGGGCGACCAGTTTCGCGAATCCTTTTAAATTTTTGCAGGGGTAGGTTACTCACAAAAGGGTCCCGTTGTCGAAGTGGCCTTTTCACATGAAATTGACACGACTATAAAGCGCATCGAACGCTAATTCCAAATCCGTCTTCGTTATCTGCCGGGCGCCTCTGGACGTCGAGTTATGAGCGTTTTTTTGAGTTGAAAGATTGTATGCATAATCAGAACAAAATTCGTCAGAATTGCTCAAATGGTCCAATGTTGATTATCAGTCACCACATTTAAATAATGTCTTCACTACAGAACACACTGCTCTATCTGAGCTTTGAGTAGACCGTAAATTTGAATTTCCTTAGATTATGCGTTCATTTTCCGCAACAAGAAATTGTTCATAAGTCGGTATGCAGAGGCGCTCGGCAAATAATAAAACAAATTTGGAATCATCGTTTGATGCTCTTCAAAGTGGTATAAGACTCATTTGAAAAGGCCACTTCGATAATCGGACATCCCTTGTCAGTGTGCTCAATCGCTGCACACTGACTGATCTATCGTAGACAAAAATTTGGATTCAATTCGTGAAATCTGGTTGCTTACAGTGCACACACCGTACTCATACGGTTTGTGCACGTTACGTACATCTATGTATCAGCTGCGCCTTCTTGAGCTGAGTTGAACCCCTTAAATTCAGAATTTGTCCACACTGAAGCAGGTTATGGCGAAAGTTCCGCATGCGGCGGCGACTGCCGTTTATTTTCACGTATTACAAGCGGTATGGTATGATTGGGAGGGCTCATTTATGCCATTGCCCTCTCATACTCGTGGCTAGCATTCTTACCTCTCAAACTCCAGTCCAGACCGTATCTAGTGATCTGCAGGACGTTAGCTGGATGGCCCTGGTAGGACATTTTGAAGTTTAAAATTATATCATTTGGCCCCAACTGAGTCATAGAAGCTCTCTTGGACGATGATTTAGTTAAGGCTTGCATCACCTTCCACGAAAGAACAATTTTGTACATCTTCTTTCAAAGTGCTGACTAGCATGCGAGTAGTGCGTTCGCGCTTCTAAACCTTGGGAAATGGACATTTTGATTCGTGTCAAGTCAAGTGTATTGTGGCTGTCTTGCCGCTACAGTATCTCGTCGGAAGAATCGATTGTTTTATTTTATTTTCGCAACAGAAATAGCCGACGGGAATGTGTTAGGAGGAAGCAAACAGGCGTCGCGAAATGAAGCTTGCCAGGAAGGAAGGTTGATCTGTTTGCTTGGAAGCAGATTTATCTTTTCATGTGTATCACTGAAGATTTTCGTTATTGCTCGTTTCAATGCTTAGGCAGTTTGCAACGGATTGTATAATGACGTTTAATCAGCCGTGCTGCTGTTTTCATTAGTGGTACGGTATGTTGAATCTTGCCCGATTATAGAATCAAATTTCTGCTATCCATTTTGCCATCATTTTGACTGTTTGATGGGACTCGCATGCACTAGAAAGATGTTTAAGGAGTGTCGCGTGGGAACACTAAATATACATAGTTTCTATCTCTACAAGTGCTGATTAAATTGTAAAAGAACGAAGAGGTTTTTCAGAAGCAGCGTCCCGGCAAGAAATCGCTTTTCGTTTTCCCCTTTTCGCAGCCTTTTTCACCATGGAGAACTCTGGACTTTTCAACACATAAAAAGGCTTCAATGAGCCTTTCGAAGCCTTCCAGGTCCGCATTTAGTGAATACACCGGAAGCTTACGCACCCCGCCTCCTTCGTTCCATGCTCCGCCCACCTACACGTATTTTCCACTGAACTCGGACCTAGAAAACTCCAGAAAAAGCTCATTTTTGCCATTTCCATGCGCTGAAAAGCCCGAATATGGATTCCTCATGGCTAGAAGGCTCCGAAAAGGTGAAAAACTGGAAAACGAAAATTGCCAAGACACTGCCTTTGAAGTTCGGGCTGTTATTCGATAATTTGTAATTTTTTCGATATCGTAACACTAGAGAGAAGAATTATCAATTCTCGGGATTTCCGATCATACAGCAGAAATCTCCCTGCGTCTAAGGCATTTTCTGCAGTATTTGAAGGTAGCTAGCCCTACAGATATCATTCAGTACTATCAAGGATTGATTTCTCTCCAGCTTTGACATAACCAATTGTACTGCTCGGTACCGTTTATCCACCCCTCCACCTCCCCCTCCTCCTCCTCCTTTCTCCTCCGCCCCAGCAGCCCTTCTGGGCAGTCTAGGTGGAATGGTAATCAGTAACGAACAGTTTATTATTCCACACCACCTACAACTGTCGTGTTCTTCTCTTCACTGCTTTCACAGGGCGAATGTGTCCGCTATCCCTGCTCTAAGTTATGTACAGTTGTTTGGTTATGATGGTATATTAGAGAGTGTATAGTTGAATTTAAATGGAGATCAGTAAGGATGGCTCATGGCAAGCACTATATCTACGAGAATAACCTTAGAACTGAAACCTCTCCGATGTTGATCGCATGAAATTGAAAGTGTCTTGTTTGTTGCAAAAGTGAGGCAGCGGTTCGCATCAATTTGTTCGATTGACCGCAAAGCTGCACTTCTTTGCTCGAGTCTGGCTATTATCAGTTTGATCGGCCTTTCGTCATCAGAAATCAATGTGATAACCTTGTCATGTAGCCATGATGAATGCTTGTGTTAGAGGCGATTTGTTTATACGCATACGCTGCCCCTCGGCCGCCACTACCTCCACAGCCGCCACCGTCACAACTAAAATCATCATACACAATACGCACCGTCCATGCTTTCCCCCGATGTGTCCCCCCCCCTACAGACGACCGACGGGGCCCCGCCCCGTTGCCGCTGTAGCGTCGACACATATCGCGGATCGTACATTCAGTCGGTGGTCGTCATACCTATCACTCTGCACCGTCCGTACTGCCTGGTACTACTGCTCGACTGCTGCTTCTGTTGATTCTCGTCCCCATTTATTCTGTGCATGGCTTATTTCTACTGTCTTTTCTTGCTATTGCTTTGCTCTGTCCATCTATGCTTCCTTTTTCATGGAATTTCCGGCTGTAGTGCTTTATGTAATTGCCGGGAGGGGGAGGGGGGGGGGGACGTCGTTGTAGTTATCGAGAACTGCGGGCAGGTCTCCATCTCTCCAAGCTGTTGGGAAGGTCTAGATACAAACGAGAAGTGGTCCTTACGTCTTGTATATATCTTTTTGACTGTCGTTAGTGTTGTGTGCTTCAAGTATTTACTACCTATTCTTGTAAGTTTGATTTTTAAATTCATCTCAAATATGAACAAAAAATATTGTGCGGACCTTCATTTTTTTGCCACTGCCTCTAGAGATATCTAGCTCAAAGTGGCATCACTGGAACCAGTGCTTCCTGTCTAACAAAATCGTATATTAGATTGAGGAAGTCGCCGAACCTATTTGTTTGTTGCTTTCCTTAGATGAAGTATAGGCTTCGATCCTCTCCGGAGCTCTCCTATCAGGAAGAGGCTGACACATTTATTTGAGGTTGTATTGAAGTCGTAAGACCCATCTCCAAGTGGAAGTCCCTTCCTCCATATAGATAGCAGAACTTCGGGCAAACCATGGCCATATTTCACCTAGGGAAATAAGGTATGAGGTTCATACACTCAAACGAAATATTTTTTATGCTGCCCAATAGCGCCCATTACCCTCACCCACGAACAGTTTGTCCAATGAAGATCTGTTGGCGTATCGCTAGATTGTTATCCTCTACGATCGCCTTTCTTCTGAGGCGATGTCGTGTGTAGAAGGGTGCGATTCTGCATGTCTGCCAGTTCTTATCATACGGTCATCGATGGAGTCCCAGCGTGACGTGTAACGCCATCTGACCTTTGTGTATTGAGCGAGATTTTATTGGATGAGCTGGTGGAGTTTTGCGGGTGCTAGAAATATCCAGGTCCTGACTGCTTCACTTGGAAACAAGCGCCGCTTTAGTTTCTGAGTGAAGGTTTTTGGTACGGAAGAAACTCATCGAGCTCTAGTGCTTGACAGAGTTTTCATTCGTTGTCAGCCCCGGGTTGCCAGGGTCGTCTGTGGAAAATCCATCAACTTTTCGGCTAATTGAAAATGTCAATTCCCACTATTCAACCATGGTAAAACGACAGTTTGGAAATAGGGTCTTTTACTATCATGATGCCAATAGCCACCGGCAGACAAGGACCAGCATAAATGTGGTTCCCATCATGTTTGTTGAAGTTTTGATTAGGGACCAATGGGCACCAGCTTTGCATTTCGAGGTATTAGATTGTCGTTGATCAGTTTATTTTGCACTGTGATCTAGTATAAGTTTTTGGGCATATCTGCCCGTTGTTAGTATGCTAAATTTTTCGAGAAATAAGGATGGACGATTGTGATGTAGAGTTGACGACGCGCTAAAGTTGCCTGAGAGATTATCGACTAATAAGTGCTGAAAGCTTATGATTCATTTGCCCTTTGAAAATCATGATTAATCGTTTGACTCTGTAATGTGCAGCAACGGAGATCGCGTAGATTTATTTAGAGAAGGATGGGGAAGACTAGGAGGAACACTTCAGTGGATTTACTTGCATGATTTTACAATTTCTGCGCGTATGTCTTCATAATTTTGCCACTCTTTTATAGGACCTCTGGTGTTAATGTTCTGTTGAAATCATGAGTTTACAGTGCTCTAATTTGCTGAATTGTTCGTGCTCAAACTTTTGAGGTTTTGTAAAATGGGTTGAAATACAAGTCGATAGTTTCACAAGACCGTCTTCTGCTTTTTCTCGAAACAAAATTTGCAAAGCTACCAAATTTAAATTTATGGTTTGAATAAAAAGAAGATCAATTACATACTTCGATATTTGCTTTTTTCAGCAGACATTAGCATAGAAAAGCTGGTCTTTGCGAATTGAATCCTGTAGGATGATTAATACCATCGGAAAGATAATTTGAGCAAAATCGTAGGATAGAGATAAATCATAGAAAATCATAGACTCTAAGGTCTCGGGCAGAGTTCAATTTCATCGTCACGATTCATCGCGACAAGACAGTTGTTACGAAATCCTTGCATGCCGATCTTCTTGTATTTCGGTTGTGATAGTCAATCAGGATTAGTCGTGTTGGAAAACTATCACAACTGAACTGCAAGAATCGGCATGCAGTGATATTGTTATAGTTGTCTTGTCGCAATGAATCGCGACGATGAAATCGCGTGAACTCTGCCCGAGTCGTAAGGGCATGTTGTGTTTTTAATGTTGTCATTTAGGGAAACCTTTATGGAATCTAGAAGAGTAAATGCTACTCAAATTATCATAAATTATCATTTCGCATCATGTTAGGAATCCTCAAACAGCTCAGAAGAGAACTTTTTTTGAGGGCCTGTAATCTTCATTTCTAATCCAGAAATCATTTTGTCTTCTCAATCTATTACACCTATAATTTGGGAATGTTGGGAAGCTTCCAGTCGATCATTTGTTTGGATTGCGTTATATTGGGTGGGAGAACGCCGCAAGGTTTTATTTACATTTACGGCCCGATGGACTGTGACCTGATAAGCACTAACGCTGACCAAGTATCAAGCGTCCGTGTGTATGAAATGTCGTCCTTTTTTGCAACTGGACTTCTGTAATCTATTTCTTCCTTCATTCTCTGATTTCAAGACTGTATTTCTTTGCAAAACATTGGTTATTCGATTAGTAGGAGGTGTTGATCTTGCAGCCGATGCTTTGCCAGATCTATTACTTCCTTCTGATCTCGTACACCTATCATGATTATTCCCACGTGACTGTCAGTGATTAAGTGGAGGCTCGGATCACACTGTTTATTGTTACAAGTGAGATTCTCACCTCCATTTCATTACTGCTATCAAAGCTTTTGTGGTAGTTTTTCTGCTTTGTTGCCTATCTTGATTTTTTTCTTGAAAAATTTGACAGAGCTCATAAGCCAACAGAGGTAATACCTTAGCTTCACATCAATTGAAATATTACTTCTGTGATCTGTTGTTACTGTTATTTACAGTTTTATCAAAACGAGGACTGCTCCTTAAAGAGCAAAGATTGAGACCACTTGAGTGCGCCATGTTTTTGAGATCATTCCTGGAAACCAATGATTGTTTTGAGCTTGTAATTTAAAAAGTTGACTAACAAGCCGCTAATCAGTTTTGCGGAATCAATTTGGGTGTATTTTTCTAGATACTATCACGGATATGTGTTCAAAACTTTACATTTGTAAAATTAAAAGTAAATTTCATATGTTCAAGCCGTTTTCTAACAATATTTTGTAGAGCCCGACTGCCGCCGGAGATGACGAACTGGTGTCTGTATTGTTCACGATTGATCAACTATTACGAATGTGTCATGCTCCTGCGAATGGACCAGTAACCCTCAAGGTGAGTTTTGATTGGTTAAAAATATTCTAGATGTCAAAATTGCATCGAAGGTTCCTTTTATAAGTATGAATAAAAATTCAAAGAAAGTCTTTCCAAAGGAAAGGGCGTTGCTCACGTTGGAGTGAGATGAGCGTAAACAGATAATGCAGATCGGGTTCAGCATCAGCGTGGAGAATTCTGGAAAACAGTTCTTCTAATTTACGTTCGACGCAAAAACAAATTTTTTTTGTGGTCTGTCTGGAAAGATTGTTTTGTACCACTGCAGCCGAAGAAAATCTGGAATTCAGAGGAAACTAGCAATTTTTTGCAAGCAGAAGAGTGTTGAACCGATGATGGAAATAGTAAGCAGATTACGAACAACCGCGTTTCATTCACATAGTTCTCCAAGCCCGGTGTGCAATTTTGTACAAGTTTGTGCATTGTCCTGTATCGAAGGCGGAAATTAGCCACACATCGGCTAATGTAAGGTACTCAGGCTCACAATCAAAAATGTGTCACCCTCTTTAACCTTTGAAGGCACCGTACCTACATTGAGTTGGTGAGATTTTCAAGCTGTATAATAATCTGGCTGCTAATTAATTAATAACTCAAGCCGCGCTGCAAGAGGTGGGTTTTGAAGCGGGAGAATTGCTCCAGGAGTAGAAGTGCTTATAGTTGCTCCGCCCATGAACATGAGTGTTCTAAAGATGTTGATTACAAAGTTGGGCCTTAAAAAACGGGTTGAAACCGTAATCAGAATGAAGGCATGCTACTATTCTAGAACATCAATTCAATCTTGGAGTTGATGGGTGTAGCCATATGGCCGTTTCTACCTTCTAGAGCGATTTCGTCTTTTGCAGCGGGGATTGAGCTCTCTAGGTTAAGGGTTTTCCTACGGTTTGAAAATCTCACTAGTCTCAATTTCGGTTGACTGGCCTTCCAATATAAATGCCGAATTGAATTCTCAGGATTTTTATGATGTTTTTATGTCTGAAGGGAGATAGACGATTTTGACGAAAGAGGGATAGTCTCGTTTGGATACTTCTGAATCGTAGAAGATATCGAAGTCAGCAGCTTGTGCTGAGACACGCTGTTGTTTATTATGCTTTGCGGCGGAACAGAGTATCGCGATATAAAGCCCCCCCCCCCGTTTACACGGTCCTCTCGTAGGCGGGACTACTTGAATAGGTTCTGAGCCGGAAAAATGAGTCAACGATTAGCGACAAGAGACGAAGAGGAAATGAACTATTTTTTAAAAATATTTCATTAATTTTGAACCTTCTATAATCGATGAATGAAATTGTAGGGTATACTCGATGACATTTGATTGTCAAAAAGATTGTCAGAAACCCGGCTGTTGTAACAAGATTTATTCCTGGACCTTTGTCGCTCTTTTTCTGCATAAATTTGGCAAATTTTATGGCTCAAATTGCCTGCCGACGGTCCTTATTGCTTTGTGCGTCAAACATTTGTAGATGGTGATGGCGATAAGAACTCTTTTCAATGTTTTTATCCGATTTGGGTTATCTTGTGGTGTCATTGAAAAATTCAATTCATGCACACACCCCGATAAGATAAAGATAGTATGAGCAAAATATGGTGCGGAATTGCTCTTTGTACTGGGAATGGGAGGGGGAGGGGGTGTGATCTGTGGAGATTTATAGATGAAATATTTATGGTTGACCGGGCAAGGTCTATGGAACAGTGGTAGGACTCAAAACTAAGTCATAGTCAGCAGCTTATATGACCCAGTTGTTGCCGAGAAGCACAACTCCAACTTCTCGCTAAATGCCACTCCTTATATACGGACCAATCAGCGCACCGCACGAGGACGCTGATTGGTTCGCTCAAAAAAGGACGATCTGGGCGCGGTTTGGCTTCATATCCGCTAAAAGCATCATATAAGCTGTTGCTTGATATTGCCTCATTTTTGAAGTCTCTTAAGATACACATGAAAGTTCCAGGAACATGATTTTCTTGGACAGTACCTATGGGAATGTGCATCTTAAATTTTCACAATTTTAACCGGAAAAATCCTGATGTTTTCTTATTGAAGGTCTCGTCTCGGTCTCTTGAATCACCACATGTTACGAAGACAGTGTCTGGTTGCGTTAGTGTTGTACACCAACCCTTCGATCTTCCGAAGCTTGTACTGCACTCTGAACGATGTCTTGTCATTCTACCAAAAATCGAGAATGGTAAGAATTCGTAAATTTTCTTTTGTTTTTTGAAATTATCCTTGCGGGGTTGAAGTTGCGAGTACATTGTTATGGAGAAGATGAGAAAAAACCTCACCGTCAGCGACAATAAAAATAACATGAAAATTTCCCATCGTCGACTTGTATCGGCTCGTTGTTTGCCTTGTGAACTGAATTTCACGCTATCTTTTGCGGCAATCGGTAGAAGATTGCATCGTTCGTGCAAGAAATGATGGAACGACAGAACGTTGTATTTAGAGTGGAGGAAATGGGACAGCTATGAATAAGTTTTGTTTGATTTCTTTGGTGAGAAGTTTGGAATTTTGGAAACCCAGTGGAGGGCAAAATTTCGTAACAATACACATTCCGTACTGTCCGAAACTGTAATTGTTGAAACATCTGACATCAGCTATTCTTGCGCCGAAACTTACACAAAAATCCAATTGATTCATCCTGACTTTTGCATGGGAAATTGTTTGCCTGCTCATCTATCGGACAATCCATCAACGGGAACTTTTGCGATGCAAAACGGTGCAAAATGGAGCGAAAAATTTCGGGGAAATGGAAAAAGAACAGGGGGGGGAGGAGATGAAATTTGCATGCGTCTGATGATCTAACTAGCAATGACGGACCAAGGGTGGGAGGGCGGGGGGAAGCGTAAGAGTCATAAAATTTTTAGAAGCTGGTTCTTATTTGTAGATTTCGAAAGAAGGTTCAACTTTGAAAAAACTTGTAGTAAGTTTTGTGAGAAAAAGTTTTCTTGGATACTTACTCTACACCCTCGAAAATTTTTTTCTCCTTCCTCAACCCTCTTACTCCATCAGAAAAAAAAAACCATGGATTTAGTGATTGCACTGTTACAAACTTCTTGTTGTGATTCCTTATAGATGATTGTCAAGATTACGGTAAATCCTGAGACACGATTGGTCAATGGATTACGGTAGAACAAAGTTGAGAATGTTAGTCAACGTAGATCAAGTATTTGTACATGGTCACACTTAGCTAGGTTTCTAAGTCTAGTACTTAGTTAAAGCTCAAATTTTTTCCTCCCTCCCCCCCCCCCCACCCTCCGCACCTCTGCTCCCCCCTTTTTTTGCCTTTTTCGCCGCCACCATCTCCTTCCTTCCTTTCTTGACATTAAAGAAAGGGCTTTTCACATCTTATGCATAACCACAGATTCCCGCACAGTGCTTATGATATGCATTATGGCAACAATGATGGTGGTATTCAATGTGTGTATGGATGTGTTCGTTCGGTCTTCTCTCTCAACATGAATTATGGATAAATCGTATTCATTTCGATGCTCACGCGTTGCCGTGTGGCGCACATTGTTATGCGACATCGACGATGCAATCGACATATTATGGCGCTCTGAATTTCGCTTCGAAGCTCGGCGTTTTATTGGTAGTTGATTTGATTTCGAAAATGGGGGAACGAAAGGGAAATGTCAAAACTGAGAGAGGAGGGCATGGCTAATAGTGGAAGGAACATCCACATACTTTAGCTTATCCAACTTGATTGGTTGTTAGGATAGTGAATTATGCCATTTAAACAAACCCTTCACAGCTGAAGACCACAGAAACGTCGCTTGTTATCAAGAATAGGCAATCCTTATAATCAGTTCCTGACGGATTTTGACGATTGACTTTGCTTGAATCTGTACAAAATAGCGTTGCGGCATCACTGTGGAACTACGATAGGCATCTTCAGTTCGATATTAGAGTTACTACCTTGGTGGCTTCGAGCAACCTTGAGTTCTCAATAACAGTTGACTCATGGCATTTATCGAAGCAGAATGTCACTGCACAGTTTACCACGATATTAAAGGCAGCGTCCAGGCAGATCTGGACCTATAGGGATTTTACGTGGAAAGTACTTTTGGGGCCCTAACTAAGGCGGCACTGCCCAAGCGGCAGCGCAGATAATGCTTCAACGGCTGATATATTCCCCTCGAAACTGGACCCCGCGTTCGTACTCGCATGGATTCATGGCAGATCCGCGCCAGGATCCACGCTTTGCGCCATGAATCCATGCGAAATATGATCGCGGGGTCCAGTTTCGAGGGGAATATCTCAGCCGTTAGAGCACTACCTGAGCTGCCGCTTGGGCAGTGGCTTAGTTAGGGCCCCAAAATTATTATCTACGTGAGATCCCCATGTGTCCAGACTTGCCTGGACGCTGCTTTTGAAAAAAATTTGTACTGATTAACTAACAGTAGTTAGTTCTTATCATTAGAGAAGACGTGTGGCTCAATGGTATGATATGCCGCTATGATTAGGTGACCAAAGTTCGATCCCAGCCCTACCAAGCCCACTGTCTTGATACCGAACTAATGTGGGAAGGTAAAAGCACTGAGTTTGTAATCGACAGGCACCGCAACTCGTTGCAAATGCTTGCGCGCATTCAGTTGCTTTTCGACTACGAAGTAAAGTGGCCAATCCAAACTAGTGTATACCATTTTATGCAGCAAGAACGCTGACTTCAAATCTGTATTCCTTATCTGCAGAACGCCTGTGCGGGCTAAGTTATAAGCAGTTTTACTACGAAAAAATCGTACGTAAAAATTGCGGGGTTAAGCCTATTATTGCCCGTTTGGCTCACCTACAGGCATGGGCCATTTGAAGTTACTTAGCTGGATGTTTTGGTTCAACATTAAAGGCAGTAGATCGGCAGAATGAGACCCGTGACAAAACAAGGTCACAGGGTACGAGCCCCCATATGGAACATATCGGCCAAAGTCCGATCTTTCTCTGCCACTTCTGACTCCCGAAATTTCAAAGCGAAAGCAGCGCTCATCTCCTGTCCTCTCCGAACACGCCCACTCCATGGACGAGTGAACGCGAAGCCCGTTATGGCGAAGACGCAGAGTCGTTGCGGGACCTCATGCTTATAGCATTGCGGCTGGCGCTCTGACCGCGGAAGTCACTCGTCCATGGGGTGGGGGGTTCGGAGAGGACAGGAGATGAGCGCTGCTTTCGCTTTGAAATTTCGGGGGTTAGAAGTGGCAGAGGAAGATCGAACTTTGGCCCATAGGTTCCATTATGGGGCCCCTACCCTGTGACCTTGTTTTGCCACGGCTCTCATTCTGCCGACCTACTGCCTTTAAGCCGAACACGGCTGTGTACGGCCAAATTTGCCCTTTACATGTACGATTTCTGGACAAAATGATGGCCTTCAATGACTTATAACTTCATGCACAAAAGTGTTCCGCAGATAAGAAAGACAGATTTCGAGTAGCATTTTATGCTGCATCTAATGTTATGCAGCTTGCTTTGATTGGCTCTGAATTCTGAATTCTCTTGTAAGTAGAATGCGTTTGGCGCTTAAGGAATTTGAAGACGCTAAATCCTTTACTATATCCTTTTGATTTGCTTGTGCAGTATCTGGACATAAATAAAGGAAGCTTTCTAGCATACATCATATTAGACAGTAATTTAAGAATCAGCTCTTTCAGGATTTACCGGAACGTTATCGACGCAAGTCCCAGAAAATGACACGATTTGCGGTAAGCGTTGAGGCAGTGTAAAAGAGTCATTGCATTTCTACGTGGAGCTGAAGCTAGAGCGCTATAGTGGACCATGCAAAAACCGAAGAGAAAAGCTGCCTAAAAGAACAGTTTTTAGAACTTGGGACCTATATAACAGGCGATAGCGATGAACTTTTGCGCGGAGTTCTAACACTTGAAAGCGAACAACATGCTTCGTTCCCGAACATCTAAAGTTGGTGTGTAGAGACATACTTCTCAACATCAGTGATGACTCAAACATTGCTTTCGAAGATAGATCTCAGAGATGGCAGAATATTGTCCAAAAATAACAGGCTTAAAATATGGGGCGTGAGAATGTATAAGTACTGCATAGATTTATCTGATTTATGAATCTATGGATAGGAGTACAATACCGTAACAGATTTATCTCATAATACCGTAATTGAATAATGCTCTGCGTGAAAAATGAGTAGTCATTTCTTGCGAATTCCCCCCTTGTTAGATCCTCAGTTGTGGGACCCATTGTGGATCTAGATGTTAGAGTAATGTCCTGCTTCAGCTCTCGATTTGTTCCTGATGGCAATACATGCAGAACTGGCATCATGTTTTGACACATGCTTTGTTGTTGAAGACGTTTCATTTTGGACCCAGGTGACGCCATTGGTACGATTGGAGGGCGATTATAATGTAGAATGTTAGCGAAACCACAAGTTTCGAAAAGTTTGATGTCAGTCAAATTTCGTTTTTAGTGCCGGGAATGGTCTCTCGCGTTTATATGCGAGAAGAGTCGCCTTGGGTTTTGAGCATCGTTGTCGTGCCTACAAATGTGGACAGTATTGAAGTGCTTGGTAATTTGATTGTTTTCATAAGTACATCTATGGGTCCTCATTGGGAAATTTTTAGTAAATAGTGGTTGAGAAATGGATCGTTCGTGAATGTCAGTCTTTTTGCAGATGCCGTTCCGCTATTATTCTGTCTTTGTGATGAACCGATGTTAGCCATAGATCTGGCGAGACGACGTCCTCCCAAATCTCCACGAGTACTTGATCGGCGCTTTTCGACTTCACCCTCTGCAAAAGTGAGGGAACAAGAAAAGGCACCTGGTAAGTAGAGAAGTGCGAATATAATGTCTCGCTCAGACCGTAGTTCGTTCTGGGCGTATCAGTGCTACAGTACTCAAAGGCGTCCGATTGGTCCGCTTAGGAAGTGAACGGTCTAAGATGAGTATATTTATATATTTATTTCATACACGTAAACGTGTGCCAGCCTGGGTGAGTGACGAAAACATTGCTAGAGTAAGAGACTAGCCTGTCGCCTTTCACCACAACAAACAAACAGCGAATAAAGGCCTAGGTATTGAGGAAGAAAAATTTCTATTTGGTCAAGGGAAGTCAGGTGATTGGGATTAGGGAATGCCACTGCCATTTTCCGGGCTGTCCAAAACGCCTGCGATTGGTTCCTGCCAGGTATTCACCAACGTGACACCACCGACGCTCGGATACACCTGCCTTATTCTGGGAAAGCCATGCATAAAACGCAGGTGTCTTCGGTCCTAAGGCACAATGCTGTTGCTCAATCCGAAAGTGGGTGACAAGCCAGCACAGCATGGTTAGTAAACACGATAAATCGAGAAACACGAACACAACAAATTGAAATAAAAAAACATGAAATCGTGAAACGACGTAGTAGGAAAGAACTTCACGAAAGCGGCTATCGTAAAAGCGATGTGGGGAAAGCAAAGTCCGAAACACATGAGTCGACAAGCGAGGGCCAGCAAGAAATAGACCAGAAACAGGCATACCTGTAATGAAAACAGACCAGGAACAATTACAGAGATTTGTTCAATTGTTGGAAAATGTCAACTTTCCTCAGTTTCCTTTTGAAAGCTTCACAGTTGTCAGCACTCAAAACTTCGCGAGGTATGCACCGTAACCATCTAGCTCCCCGACAAAAGATATGATTAAATAACAGGTTGGCATGTTTCCTCTCAACTTTTGGGTAATGCAAGTTAAAACCACCGTGTCTGTCGTAAGCAGGCATAAAGATCCAGTAATCGCTGGGATTCAACTTGACTTCACGTTTCAGAACTCTGAAGCAAAACAAGAGGTCAGATTTAGCTCTTGCAAACAAGATAATCAAATCCCAGCTTCTTCAAGCGGTCCTGATAACTCAGAGCGGAACAATCGGGATACATCTCCTCATCACAATTCTAGTAAAAAGTCTCTGAAATCTTTCAAGCTTTTTAGAGTATAACGTAGAAATTCGTAGCTATCTGGGCAATGACTTAGTAAGATCTCCTAAGATTCGCCTGCGCACTCACTATGAGACAACCTCGCCGAGGATAATTATCTATGCCTGTGCATCTTACAAATGCTCTGTGTTTAGTATGTGAATTTTGATTACCGTAGTCATACGGTAGCGTTCAATGTGGCGGATCTAAGCGTTGCATAAAGAATATCTAATGAATAAAAAAGCGCAATTCAAAATCTACAAATAGCGGTAAACCGCGCGGCGGTCCCGAAGCGCGCAGATGCAATCTGGCACCTTACTGGTTAACTAGTCAATTTTTTTATAAAATCAGGAAGTTAGGCTTTGACAGAAGAGTGTTCGATAAGGTAAAATTGTATCGTAACACTGCAAACCAGGTTTGCCATTAGTTCCTATCATCGACATTTGCAGTAATTGTTCACAGTATTGAGAGTAAAGTATAGGCTGCTATGAGAATCTACAATAAATTTTACTACGCTCATTGTTACCAGCTTAATTTTGACGGGGCCCCACTGTGCAACGAGCACTTGACTCTGATCTGTCATCAAGTGGCTTATTGCTTTACTACATTGACCGAGGAAAACCGATAATGCTATGAATGGAAATAATTCTGCAGCTGTACCAGGAAGTGCTTTTTCACAGTATGATGTTGTCTGTGCAAGAAGGGCATAAAAAACTAGATGGCAAAAACTATTGTAGCCTCTATCTGGAGAGCCGCTTAGTCATAAAATTTTGTAGGCACCGTCCAGCCAGACTGACGGCGATGAGATTTCGATACGGTACAATATAACGGGGCCCCTAACTAAGTGATCGCCTACGCCCCGGTGCAAAAGATGAACCAGCGGGAAAATAATTTCAGGAGGGAGAAGCGGCAGTGGTGGCTCCACCCAATAACTGGCTATTCCGAAGATGATCGAAAGTAGGCCTTAGCGTGGGTAAAAGTTGAACATTTGAATTCATAAGGAGAACGAATTTCCACATCCTAGAAACACTGAGGCCAATTTCGGGCTTATTATCTCTAGACACCCAGATGGGCGAAGAGCCATCGCCTCTTCCGCCCTCTAGAGCGAATGTCTTTTCTCGGATTTAATCTTTTCCCACGGGAATTGAGGTACATACAAGGGAAGGCATAACGTAGGTCGGCCTATTGATGAATGGCACGTATAATTGGAATCAGCTTGGAACGCTGAGTCCAGATTTGTTGTTAGCTGCGAAGCTATTTTGAAAAATCTTACGAGCTTTTCACTACGCGCCGTTGACGCACTACTGAACATGAGAAGCCTATAAGTCGAAATCTGCTTAGGGAAGGTGAATATTCAAATAACATCGAGTCTAGTCTTTTGGTGCTGAAAGGGAGCATCATGCATGTGCACTACATCTGAATGTTGCTACCGTAATCTCTGTAAGTCGATTAGCATTCAAATTTTGCACAGGAAAGCCCAATAACTCTATCCAGAATAACGCTACGCAGTTAGCCAAGATATTTGAATTCAGCATTTCAAGCTGATTCCAAATCCGAGTATCGTACTAAAAGGCTGACCTAAGTTGGGTGACTTTCACCGTTAGTTAGAAACCCCGCTTGTACCGCATCAATAACTCGCCATCCAAAACTATGGGTGCCTTTAAAGATTGAAGCTTCGTTCAGATGAGCAGTTAAAAACGTTAGTTGGGTGGATTTCCTATCAGAATCTAGCCAAGGGGGTGAAATTACTGGGACAAGCAGCTAGGTTAGTTACCCTGGCAATAACTGTCCACGTTCTTGCAGACGTTGAAGTTCAAATTGAGTTCACCTACAAAACCCAATAGCAAATTTCGCATCTAAAAAGGAGCCTTACATTTGAAGGAAGAGTGCAAAAATTAAGAGAGTTTACGCTTTTTCATAAAGGAGCGTCAGTAGTCAGTATACATGAAATCAACTTTGAAAATTCTTTAGTGTTTTTTTTTTCGTAGTATCATGATCCTAGGATAGGCATCGGTAACATCACACTGCATTTCAAGCATTTTCTGGTATCAAAACTTTCAGAAATGCCAGGAAGAGAGTGGGTGTCAGGTACTCGCTGTCTAGATGTTTTGAGAGAAAACTACAGACCAAAGCGATTGAGCGATGTCATTAACGACGTTGATGAGGTGAGGTGACATACGCTATCCGGTTTTGCATTGGCTCAGATTCCTCATGGAGCTCCTGGTAGTATGAGAAAATTCGCTTCAGGCAGTGATCAGCAAAGCTGTTGTTTCTGCTCTATACACGGCTGTTCAGTGTGGTGGGTTTTTTTGTATCCGTTACATAGTCATAGTCGGCAATGAATAAAAAACGCTGAAAGTGTGAGAGTAAGTGTTGCTTGGTGTCCAGGTATCACCATGGACCATGCCGTTGTTCGTAGCATTCTTGATGAACAATGTGAATGCACAAGTCTTGAAGTTGACGGTGTAGCGAAGAGTTTGAGCACATTCTGCTCACATCTTAATAAGGAGGCGAAGGTGACTAGCTGTTTTGACATGAGTCTGTTCAAGCTCATGAAATCTACTTTGAGGGAGGAGGAGATGCCTCCGATACAAGTTTTTGTGGGGAAGGCAGAGTGCAACTTACTTTCAAGAAGGTCCTCCATGGAACGTTCAACCAGGTGCCAGGCTTGCCGTACTTCTACTACACGCCGCAACAGTGAGTTTTTACGGGTGCTGTTCTCCCCACCTATAATTTTCCAAAGTTGCAGAAAAATTACAAAAGTGTTTTTTCAGCAAAGAAAGTGATGCTCGACATCCCTTAGCATCCGAAATGGCAACATTCAGTGGACTTTTTGGTGAACACCCACCACGGGGCTGGGATGGGACTTTTATAGAGAGAAGAAACAGTACGTCTCAGCCCGAGCAACAAGGTTGTTATTCATGGATTTGCTTAGGCAACATTGAAATTAGTAAATTTTCAGGTGAAGACGGTAGTCCCGAAGAAGCTTTCTCTTCGGCAGGATCACTAAGACGATCTGATCGTCCGCTGGATCAGTTTCGATTGAGATGTGCTCTGTTTGGCGAAAATGAAAGTGAAAAGCTGAAAGCTGAAGAGAAAAATGCTAGGGTTAGTTGAGATCTACAGGCTGTCTCATTGTGTTGAAGTCGCGGCTCGGGTCTCGCGCGGCTGCCTCGCTTGGCTTTGCGCCGCGTTCGCGAACATATCCTTTGATATTTTCCTACGCTCTTCAGCATTCATTTCTCGCTCAGGCATGGCAAGATGCCCCTTAGGATACGTTAACGAATGCGGCGCAAAACGTGGGGATTGGCGACATGACCCAAGCCGCTGGAGCTTTGACACTCATTTTGAGACAGCCTGTACGTGATAGCACTGGTATAAATCGGAATTTTTAGAATGCATATGGAGGCGATTTCCCGCTTTTTATTTACTTCATGTGTTCCATAGAATATCCAGACAAATCTATGGATACCTTTCCTCTTACATTTCTCCCTACTTGTGTTCATGAGGTGCTAAGGGAAAGCAGCATAAAACCAAAGGAATATGGTAAAACAGGAATTCTCACAATATTTCAACAACCTTGGCTATTGGGTAATTTTTCAGATGTTGCTGATGTTGTTGTGCGGTTGGATCTATATGTCATGACATGGCCATGTCCTGAAGAAAACCATGATGAAGACAGTGACAGTGATTCCGAGGATGATACTACACAATCCGAAAGGCAGATGAAATTTGTATCGAAGTTACCAAAGAGGGTAAGTGGACACATTGACGGGAGTGTGGCATTAGTGGACGCCTGGGTCTTCTATGTAGGTTTGGAGAATCCTATTAAACCTCCCACGGGTATTCGAACTTATTTTTGATCAAAAAAGCTTTGACTCTTACCCAAACTGCACTCTTTCTGGGCAGACCAATCAGCACCTTGAACACGAGGTACAGTATTAAGCGAGAGATTGGAGTTGACTTTCTCTGCTACGAGTGAATCGTATAAGCTTCCGACAGCTTCTCCAACTGCTTAGCTAAGGCCTTCCAATCATTTTTTTCAATGAGAAACCTAAGTATCCATTTTGCCGGATTGCCTGCAAAAAGTCTGAGACGAAGTTTAGATGGTTTATTATAGGTCAGAGCTGTAGTCAACGAGCTGATGAACAGGCTCAATCGGCTGGTTGAGTTGGAAACCGTATTGATGGATAGTCGAAAGCCGAACATAACAGTGGAACAAATCAAGGAGATTGCAAAATATATAGAAAGAGAATGCGCTAGAGACAAGGAGGTAAGTTTCGTTAGTTCTGATGTTTGCTGTTGCTTATTCTATCATTGCAGTATAAATGTGGACAATTTGAAACCCGCTTCAGACGTTTTCCACTTGTGATACAAAGCCAAGAAGCTACGGATCGTTTAAAAGTAGGTTTCGCAATTGTTCGCAGGTGTTTTAGACCGCCGTGTGCAGTATAAACTGCAGTATAAATGTGGTCCTTGTTGGGGACCAGTTTTCGTCTAGTTGATAGCTTGGAAAATAGAAAGAAAATATCTAATGATGTTTTTTTGTTCCAAGCTTGGAAAATAGAAAGAAAATGTACTTAAAAAATATACTCTTTCGTAGTTTCATATTTGTGAGTTTTAGGACAGAATGAACGAGATGCACCTTGAGTATTGTGTTTTGCGACGTGTGGCTGATGCCAACATGTATTACTGCTGTCAGGTGAGTGTAGATTTCTACGCTTATATGTCTAATAAATTGCTTTAAGGTGGAGGATATCCAAGCTTTTGAGCGATACACGCGACAAAAAAGTGGAAGTAAGCTTTGGATAAAGAACGACTTGTTATTTTTGAGATTCCAAAATTTTAGGCAGAAGTGATTCCTGTGATACCAGCGATCTGCTGAGACTTGATCAACTCCATGACTTTTGGGTAATTTTAACTATTGATGACAATATAAAACTACAGTTCTGCCAAAGGTAGGCATTCTTCTGCGGTTTTTGGCAAGATCTTGAAAATCTTATATTTCCAGAGAAAATGGACGTCATGATCGTATTTTTGAGTTGGCTTGGCGAAAATGTCGACAGACCATCCGTGTCATCAATCAGGTAATGAAAACTTCCATCAGTTATTGATTGATCTAGCCGAAGTGATCTAGGAGCTGCTTCTGAATCGTATGTTCGAACTGCGAGAATGTGACCCGCTGCTGATGACCAACATAGGTGATTCTTTATCGACGCACGATAACTCTTTGGATCGAAGCAACACCTCATCGGGTAAGATTTAAAAGTATCGGGGACCAGTTCTCGCCTTTTTGAAATTTTAGCATGTTTACTGCTTTGTTGTCATTATCGTGACTTGCAGTATCCGAGGATCATGAGGTGGACACCCACATAGCTCACGGAGCCCGTTTCACCTTTGCGCCCGGCTATTTTGCATGTAAACTCCAGGAGCAGCTATGATAAGTTTGAGGATTTTACTTGGATTCAAAAGGATAATTTTATTATCTGTAGGTTCGAAGTTCATCCACGTTTACGAGTGCTTCGCAGCAACTCTCGCGATCCTCTTGCTTTCGGATGCGAAGCCCTGCGTATTGCTTTGGAACAGTTTGCAATCAGAAATATACCGAACACTTATGTTGTTAGGTAAAGTAAGTCGGTATTCCATTGAGAATCTGCAAAATTGCTCTTCAGGGAGTCAGACGGTCGAGTGTCATATATGCAGCTTCATACTTCAATGGAGACGTTCAGAACATCTTTGAAGATGAATACAGCTGCGTTGAAAAGGAAGAAGAGTATAGAGTGAGTTTATATGTCTTTCCTCTTTGAGTACTTAAATGCTCAAGCACCGCTCATATAGATTTTTTCATTTGTGAATGAAAAATCCAATCCTGCGCTTTTGCCCACTATCGTACTGGTGCGCACCAGTTGGCGTTTTTGAGTACTGTACTGGGCGTATAGGTTTGAGTTGCTATGTCACAGTTAAAATATATGAATTATCTTTGCAAGCGGCTGTGTTAAGGCCTCCTACATTTAGACGTGCCTGTGTATTGCCTTTATGCATCTCCAATTATAGAGAGATGGAAAAGTTCAAGAACCACATCCTTCTGGCTGTTTATGGCGTTGAGAAACCGGGTCATGAGATATGTAAAGTGCTCAGCGACCTTCTCCAAAAACGTTTGGACCAAGTGACTCTGAATCAGCTGATCGATACCCTGTCTAAGAATTCGCAGACTAGGCTTGACAGTGCTGACGTCCAGGTATATGCCATTTAGCATGTTTTGGGCTGAAATACATGCCATTTTTAGTTTCTACAAAAAGATCCAACAAAGCCAGCTGGTGTTTTCAACTACTCGATTCCAAACGCTATGGCACAATTTTTGCAACCTCTCAGCTACTACACGCATCAACACATGCAGGCTGCGATGCCATCGGCCAGGTTCAAGGTACTGTATGCTTGCTTTGAGTTTATGGATTCATTTCCATATCTGTGTTTTCTTAAAGGAAGATTTTGGCTCCGGTAGCACGCACGGAATTGACCGATCGGTTTTCATTCCGTTACCATTTCCCGGTAAACAGCCGGACTCCTATGTACCAATCTTCTACCTCCTTGTGAAGTCTCCGCAAGGTGGTATCAGAACCACTGGTATGTTTTTTTTGTGATTTTTGTAAGGCAATAGCATAATCGTTACTGGTATTTAGGGATTGCTGCTATCGAACTACGTTTTGTGAACAGTACTGGTAGCATGGCGACGCTGACCCTTGGTCGTCTGAATAATTCTACCCACATGAGCTTAGCACCCACACAGTTTGAAAACGTCAAGAGGGAAGATTTTTACAAAGAGTTGACATTTACAAGGAGTTGCAAAGAACCACGCGAAATGCCAGGTAAGGAGGCGGGAGTAATCAGGAGATGGATGAATCTGACTTTCTTTTCTACTTCTCTTCTAGGAGTTTGTGCATTTGCCCAAATAGCTGTTTGGCAAGCTGGTGACGTGGATCTTGTTCAGCTTGAGGATCAACTCCGACATGTTGTGCAGCTAGTGAGTCCTTAGAATGCTTGCTAATTTTCTTCAATGCTCAATTTCGGTTTTGATGCATATTTTGCACGGAGACGGGGCTAATATTTTCTCTATCAGGGAATGTGTGACGTGGTGACAGAATTTGGGATTCTGAACCTGAACGTCATAGAAGTCGGTGCGCAATTACCTGTAAGCCCAGGACTGCACGTTAGTCCACACACAAGTAAGTTTGTCCGTAAGTTTTTGCAAAAGCACAAATTATTGATGGATACCGCTATAGGATCGACATCATCAGCAAAAACTCCTACGACGACATCGGAGCGACGTCAGCAGCTACGGAAGCGAGATTCATCTGAAGCACTCCCGACTGTATCAACTCCGACCCTCCCAACCGAATCATCTCTGAAAGGCAAAGCCAATTCTGTAAGCTTCAAAAGTCTCCTAGTGTACAAAAAGTTCATGGCAAAATTCATAGGTGTTCTCGTTCGAAACGAGGAGAGGATCCTTTACGTCAGAGTTGGATCGAATGTCGGTGGATTTTGTGCTACCGTAAGCTTGTAAAAAAATTTCCTTGTCTATGTTGTTATTTATGACACAAATTCTTTTAGGGCTTCCAATCGCTCGCCAGACTATGTAAATCCGACATTTGTAACAACGGCCGGCCCATGGTTTGACTACGTTGTGGAGAAACACTCTGGGTAGGTATATAGCTTTTTTTATTCAGATTTAATTTGATTTATTTTATTATTATTTTTTCATTTATTCTATTTCCTCCATGCCAATCGCTTTCAGAAATACGCCATCATTTCTTTCCGAGAAAGGAGAGCGTTACACATCAGTTCTTCGACATTCATGGATGTTTGATTGCAAGCAGATTGTGAACAAGGTACAACAAGGTCTTTACTGTAGCCCACTTGCTGCTACGGTATTATACCGTATCAGTGTAGAAGGAGTCGCTCTTTCAAGGTTTCTGCCAATTGTGTGGCCATATTGTGTTGTATGCAGCCTCAAATAATAACTTTTGCCATTTCCTTCTGATTTTTTTCACTGGAAAATTTTCTTTGCAGGCACTGCGAGAAATCGCTGAACATGTTCTGGAACAAGTACGAAACGTTGACGCCATATTCCCCGACCGCGTTCAGATATTTGAACCAACTCCTCGACTGTCCGAACAGGCTCCACCCAGCTCTGTGACATCTTCGGGTAGCAATAAGAGACTGCCTGAAAGGCGATATGAAGCTGCGTTACCCACTATGCAGACTGGAATGAGTGTAGGTTTCAATCTTACTAATACACTGTTCATATATATTTCACTGTTTTTTATTTTTCTATCAATTTGCTATTTTTATTGCCAGATCTCAGTTGTTTCAATCCGTATTCCTTTAGGCAGACATTGGACGAGATCCTTGTGAATCAGACATGCCAGATGCGTTATTGGTCTGTCAAGAAATGCAGGTGGCAATAGAGACACAACGATTTGGTTTTGAGCCAATTGGTAGCTGTCCGGACACTTTGTTGCGACTCAATCACAGCGGTTAGTTGTCCGCAGTCAAGCGAGGAAACGCTTTGTTCCGGAATATTAATGTTCCAGTGTCGAAAGAACTGTTCTTGCCTTGCACTGAGGAAGGCCAGTTTGTTCCGAGACGGCGCATACTGTATGGTACGGTAAATGGCGAGAAGTTGACAGTGTATTTTTACAATTTCATGCCATTCCTGTCAGCATCGCTGATGAATATGATTGCTAGGTGAGAAAGAAGTAGTAGCGACGCTTTTTTAATGTCTTTTTGATGCTTGTAATCCAGGGCGACTTCATGGTACAACTCCCGATCAAGGCTTGTGCGAGAGATCGGCTTGCATAAAATGGGAATCACGCATTTGTCTCCTTTGGAGGTATGACATGGCATAACATGTTCATTGAAGACAACCGCATTTCTTTCCAGCACTACCAGTCACCTCCCGAAAATCCCTACCTCGTGCTAGTGTGGCGAAATCCAGAAGAACTGATGGACAAGGACTATCCTCCGGACGATCTGCAGGTTTGAATTCCTGTTTTATAGTTTGGGCTACATTTTCTTTCCTTCATACATTCCGTCAATTCGGGCAGCATCATGGATTTAGGTGACAGCTATCGACGCTTTGCCAAAAGGATATCCGGAGAGTCTCTTCCGATTGTATCGTCGAGCATGTAAGCTACCAGCTTTTCATACTTACATCGATCTTTTTACTTTGAAATTTATTTCGTTTGATATTTACTTTCCTTAAAGGTAGCGGGTCGGCAGAGTGACAGCTTTGGGATATCCATCGTTACGGTTCCCCTGGATGAGCTAAGTCCAAGACTGTGCTTTGCAGCTTCAAAAGAATCAATTACCCGCTTTCACAGATGTGAAAGTGCTGTTTGGGCGGGTTGCGAAAGTGGCCGCTGGAGCCAATAATCCAGTTGCCGCCGGGATGGGTACGGTGTCTACGCCGTCCGTCAAAATTGCACTTTTCACGTTTGGAAAGCGTTATTGATATCTTTTGAGCTGCAAAGCACAGTCTTGGACTTACGAGGGAAGGATACTTAATGACCGTGGCCTTTTGCACTGTGTTGTATATCAGTAGATGCGCCCTGAAACGCTGATTCTAAATCTATGTTCGTTATCTGCTGTGCGACTCGCTGAACAAAGTTATGGACTTTTTTCCGGATTGATTTTGGGAGATTTAGGCAGTGAAAATTGTCAGCATCCAAGTCTTTAGACTCTGATGTATCAATGACGGTTTTCCTGAGCTTAACGTGAAGCTTTACTTTAATTGTACGCTCTTTTGTAGTGCGTAAGCGAACATTTTAACGACATTGGTGAATTCTGCATCAAAAACAGCGCAGATTTTGGTGACAAAAAATGTTCATAACTTCTTTCGGAGGAGCGCACAGCAGATAATTAAAACAGATTTGGAATCAGCGCTTCAAGACGCATTTACTGGCATACGTTTCATTTCAAAAGGCCACGGTCACCAACTATCCTTTCCTTGTTAGCTAATCCAGGGGAACCGAGAGCGATAGATATCCCAAAGTTGTCACTCTGCCAAGCCGCTGCCTGTAACGTCTGTTTCAGGCCATCCATACCTGTTCTTGAATCGATCTCCCTGTCTGATACAAGACCAGCTGGAGCAAATGCGTTACATCAGGTTACTTTTTTTGGACTAATTTGTTCATTACAGCTATTTTACAAATTTTTGTGTACAGACGCAATGTCCGAGAGCAGCTGAACACGACAAGAGCATTCACTTCTATACATGATTCTTTGCTCGTCGGAAATAACACAATTTCGGTGAGTCAGTGTCCTATATTCATGCTATTCCATTCATTCGTTCCTATAGTCTTCCTTCAATACTTTGCATGGACTTCACAATCTCTTTTGAGGTACCTTCAGAAAAACTATCTCAATGTAACCTATTCTTCTGTATGCGGATAGCTTTACAGGAAGCCGATTTGGAGAAACTGCGCTCAGCGAGCAAATTGTTACACTTTGTAGAAACTCCAGTGCTATTTTTCCCAAAATGGAGACGTAACATTGCTGTCGTCCGAAAGGTTCAAATGCAAATTTTAAATTACGCGGTTTTTTACATTCTTATGAGATGGTTTCAGCGTGGCCTGAGTGAGGTCGACGCGCGAAAAGCGAAGGTTGCTTTAGGAGCACCACCTCCGCCGGCAGGAATCCGTCAGCGAGCGAACACTTTGAGGTATTGAAACCAACTTGAGTGATTCCAGATAGCTCTATTTTTCGTGTGGTTGCAGTGTAACGCCTTCGGTACCAGCTCCATTTCGCATACGACCCGATGTGGGAGACGATGACCCTTGTCAGGTGTGTACAAAATCTTTTCACTTAAAAATAGTGTACAGAAAATTTGGGATTCTTCGATCGTCTGCGATTCCAGGCTAAGATTCTTTATCTGCTTATGGGCGACTATGTCAATTACCTAACAACACTCGGTTTGCAAGTATTGAAGGTTACTAATTTGGAACGGAGGTGGGAGCTTTTTGGAAAAATTCGTCATGCCAAGGTTCACAGTAACAAGCCTTTGGCTTATTGAAGGAGTGAACAACGGCACATGTACACAACAATTTATCCTCAAGGATGTAAACATCCTCCCTTTGTGGTAATGCATAAAACCGTAAAAGGTATGTGCGAATGAGAAATGTGAGTGACAGCATGTAATAAATACGCCTTCCAGGAGGCACGATACTAGTTACACTAGCATTCGAGCAACCATACTTTGCTTTCAAAGCATTTCAGTGGCATCCAAGCAACCTGTGTGAGCCTACAGCCAAGGTAATTTATTTGTTCATCGCAACGTTAATGTCTATTCAGCGCACACTTTTTCCAGCAAGAATCTTGTAGCGATGGTGTGCGAAAGATTCGTGAGCTTCAACAATTCAAAGATCTTATCGCGATACAGTGTCATCTGCATTCATTCACCTACGATTTCCATCTGAGAATGCTGAGCAAGTATTTGACGGGCAAAGATAATGTGAGTTCATTCAAGCCTTTCTTGCATGCAATTTGATGTTCTCTCTCGAGCAGTCGGAAGACGGGTTTATTTGACAATTGTTTTCTTCTCCGCCCAGTTCGAACCTGAGAACTACTGATGCTAACTATAAATTTTGTTTTTTTTTGTAGGTTCTCTTCTCGCCAGGATACAACACACACGCATTTCTTGTCGATTTTCTTGAGTACTATGGATGTAGGCCAACTAGTGCAAGGAACTGCGTTTATGAAGGCAAATTTTAATTTATCTTAGAAGCTTTTTGAGAAAATATATGCCGTTTTAGAGCGCTGCACATATACCTTACAACATGGAGTGCGTGGGAGCGATGTCTGGGATCATTTCTTGAGTTGCGATAAAAATTACAAGTGGAGGGTGTTGAAACTGAAGGTTGGTATAGTAAGCGCTTGATTAATTGGTACAGTCTCTGTGTATCATACTAGGTTGAAAAATTTCTAGAGAAAAAGTTTGTTCGGGAAGTCCTAGTCTAAGACCCTAAGATTTGATGTCTTCATCATGGTTTAGGTTTGAAGTCAACCAAAAATCGAGTCGTTTTGTTTTAAGTAAAGCGATAAGCAAAAACTGATCTAGCAAAAAATTGAAAAGCCAATCTATTTCTGGACAGCCGGATACACCTTTGCATAATCTCTCTGGAAAACAAGTCCTTTTTTTGTATGAGTAGGAATTGATGCCTGTCCTTGTCTGAATCGACCCATTTTTGCAGATACTGAATGATAGGGCTATTCAGAATAGCGAAGGTTATGGCGATCAACGTCGAGACGATTTCATGCTTGTTTCGAGCGCACCGGCGACTTCGAATGATGGGGTGATTTTTGTCGTTTGTAATATTTTTGCCCAAATTATGGTTGTCTCTAGCAAGCGAAGGAACTAATTCGTGTGGTGCTCCGCGACAGAAGGTTGGATAGAGACGGCTTACAACTGGTTTTCTATCTCCTTGCAGTAGCAACTGATCAAAGTAAGTGATTTTTACCTCTCTCTTCCCCCCCCCTTCCCACGGAAAACAACTACTCGTTCATTTTAGCTTCCCCAATGGAAGAAGAACGACATCGAGAAGACTCAAGGCAGAGCGATGTGGGAGAGTTTAAAAACTATGAGAAGAAAAGAGATCCGCCGAGCAGACCACTAGAAAATGATGACATAATTCGCAGAAGAGAGTTGGTATTTTTCGCATTTATTAAAGTATCGATCATCTTAAAGTACCACAATTTAGAACTTGCGCCTTTTCCAGTATTGAGGAGATGATGCGAGAAGGAAATTTATCCTCTTCTTCAAGGAGACGCTTTTCAAGTGGAGGTCATCTAAATGCAGCTTCAACAGTTCTAGGAATTAGCAAGCCACCCCATCTAGGTTTCTTTCCTGAAATAAAGACTTCAACACCCGTTATTGCTGAGTTTTTAGAAGCTGAATCACTCCTAAGTTCGACTCGCTACACGGAAGGTTTCATGAAAGCAGCAGAATCCGATGGTGACGTGCATAGAGTAGCAGTGCAGGGCATTGCCCCAAGACGACATAGGAAACCTGATGAGGGTGGGTTAATTTCTGTTTTTTTGCATTCCGTCTATTCATTTTAAACAATCCTTTATCGATGAATCTAACAAAAAGCAAATATTAGTTCATTGACGGAAATATCACCTCTCCTAAAAGAAGACTTTTCCGAATAAATCGAACTGTTTTTTCCTAGCAAGTTTAGGGCACTGCTCGATAGAGCAAAGCAAGTTTTACAGACTGATCACCCGGAATCTATCTAACATAAATCATGCAAAGTTTGAAGCCATAATCGAAAAATTTTTACAATCAAAAAATTAAACTTTAAAAAACCCCACGAAGCTCCAAACTGGTTCATACAGAAGATACATTCGTAACTGCATTTGCTACATTTTTTTCGCGCATAGAAATCGTAAAAAGATAGTCTAAAAATGGCAAACTCCGCCTCCAGCTCCTCCCACATATGTGATTGTTAAAGCAACCATTTGTAAGCATAATCTCGGAATCATACCTCTGTATGTGCTTTGATAATCGAGAAAAACCAAGTTTGAGTTGACATAAAAACCGAAATGTGGTATTTTTGCATTTTCGGGCTTATTTCTTCTCAATTTTGGGCGGAAAAAATTCATCAGATTGTATGAACACTAGTATGTATCTGTTGTAAGATGAGGCTGGAGGTCCGGGATTTCCTTTGGAGGAGATCCGATACAGTTTTTGGTTCACGCAAAGTATAATAATTTTTGATCTTAGTTTATCTGATATATTCTAGCACTCCCAAAAATTTACCCTCTTATATAACTAACTTTCATATAAGCAATGCTCCGTCTGTATGTAAATGCTGTGAAATAGTTTAGATTTGAAGCTATTCAGGTACACATCCATCTCATTCTTCACTCACTTCCTTGAATATCTTAGGTCATGTAACATGTTATTCTCGTAACTTTTATTATTCGGTTATCATCACTGTTTTCTGTTTTGTTGTGTTTTTGTTTTCCTTTTCATCCAATTTTCTTTCTAGTCCATTTTGATTGAAGCATGTTTGTTTTTTTGTTTTCCCTACTTCCGATTAAGTAAATATGGGCATAAGCAATTGGTAAATCGAAGCTTTTTGTGAAATTTTGTAATTTCAGACGGCACGATACCAGGTGAACATGTCACCTATGTGCATTTTCTCAGTGGTCGACAAAGAATACTACAAAAGGAAGTGGAAGATGCGGTTTCTCAGTACAGTGCTCAATTAGCAGACTGTGTGAAAGAAGCTGAGTTTCTATGTAGAAGGGCTAGTATGTGGAAACAGGTAGGGTGAAATTTTACTCGAGCTCAGCAACATACGTTCCTTTAGGTATTGCTACGTAAGCATAGCCGAAGTTCACAGCCGCAAACAGGTATCAGCAGCATATTTCTTGGTTCCAATCCAAACAGGTAAATAAATCTTCGATTTTACTATTTCTGTTGTGGAAATCCACGATATTTGATACAGGAGTGTGGATCCCTGGCAGCCGCTTCGGTCGATTTCGCACCATGAAACTATGAAACCTTCTGAGCTGAAGACACTGATTTCAGTGGTTAGCCAAATTTACATGGAGAGCAGAGAGCCAAGGTAGTGATGTTTCTCCTCGGCGCTACCCTTGCATACTTCTGCTTGGGTACCAAGCATCATTTCTGTTGCATTTCTTTTTCAATAATGTTTTCTTGTGATTTGCCACTTTTTAGGCTCCGGGAATTGTTGAAAGGGACGAACTGTGCCAGACTCTGCAGATTTTTGTTTGCACGCTTTGGACCAGATCGATGTCGGTTCTTCGAATTCCCAGATTCTACCGAAAAGGTATTGTGATGTTCTGTGTGCTTTTCTTCTTTTCTATTAAACTTCTTTTATTTCTGTACACCAAAAGCGCTACCGACCTTCTTCGCGTTTCTTTTCCATTTTGAAGTTTCCTTTTAAAGCTGACAAAACATTTCCGTGATTCTAATATTCAGTGTTTGATCTTAACTAATCCGGATTTGGATGCTATGTTCCTCATCGAATGCCCCACGGAAACATCTCCAACACTCAGCGTGCTTCTCAAAGAGCCCGACCTCGTCGAGGACACCCAGGACGAATCGAAACGGTTTAGGTGGGAAATCAAATATTTCGATTTGATTAGACGTTCTTGATATCACAAATTTTTGTGGCATTGCAGACAACACCGGCTGGATTTGGCATTCGATGATCTTGTCGCTTGTGTAACAGCGTTCTTGTGGACAGATCTATTACAGAAGCCACCGGGCACTCATTAGTTCAGTGTTGTAAATTCGAATTAGTCAAGTTTTTACGTAAATTGAAGTGATTATGGGTCTGACGCGTGTAATTTAGTACTCTAAAAACCAGTCATATGAGAGTGATTTCTGTACATACTTCGTTATATTGATAAAACTTCAAAATTTTCACTTGTCAAGACGCGCCCGTACAGTATCCTCAGATTGAAATCCTTTGTAGATGTAACTTTTATGTCCCTCCTCTTCTCCTCATTCCGTCGCGCTGAGTACAGGGGCGCGAATCGTTTTCTGGGGTTTTTAAAAGCGAATCTTCTTTAGTTCCACCAAAATCTACGAAGTCCCCTTCGACCCCCCCCCCCCAATTCTGCCCCCTCCCCTAGTCCAGAAAGTGAGGCCAGCACAAAGCACTAACATCAGCAAGACTACACGATATTGGACGAAATTGTGGGATAGACAAAGCGTCGAAAGTGCGGAAGTGCGGGAGGGTATCTACAAAAGTAGGCCAAATACAACAGAAGTCAAGAAAGCCACGGGCTGTAACGTCAACGAGTGCAACCACTTGAAGATTGTAGTGAGGAAATCACTACGAAAAACTGAGAAAATGAGGGACGCAAATGCCGAACTGAACTAAAAGATGGATTTGAGCTACAATTGCTGAAATGATAATTTAAAGGGAGCAGACGCAGACACAAAGGTTGACGCTGGGGCGCGCTATCTAACAATGCGATTTCTGGAAATGGGGTCAAAAAACGGACTTAGGGACGGTATGGAATTGTTCTTATGTACGGATAAATTCTTGATAAGGGCATCCGTCTGTGGAAAAATCCCACACTTATGTGAAGTTACGAAAATATATGCGCCGTACTGCGATCTCAGGTCGTATGCTCACCGTCTGGAGCAGGCTTGAGCAAGAGGTCAGGCACAAGTCCTTCAAAAACGACCGCCCCCCCCCCCCCTGTGAAAGCCCCTAAACGACCCCTGCGCTTCACCTCCATGTCCTCAGGGTATTATCTTTTGAAGAAGACCAGCTTTGCAGGTTTCTGCTTCTTAAAAGTTTTTAGTCCCGGCTTTCTGCGATTGCACAACTACACGCGACTTGTCGGCAAGTTTTGGATCTCGATAGCCCTCTTTTCAGAGATATAATTTTTGCAGGGATGGCGTGTTTGGCTCCAAATTTTCAATGTAGCAAGAAGAGGCTTTGCGCTCAATACTTACACTAAAATAGAGGCGATTTTTGAATAATGAAGGCAAGTTAATGGATTAGGCGCAACCCCTCAAAAGCTCAGGCGGCCTGACCTCTTGAGATTGCGCCTGACCCCATTAACTTTATTTCCTAAGAAGTTTTTCTACCCAAGTTTTATGTGATTCTAGCTCAACCCTCGAAGATTCAACAGCAAGTTTTTGAGTTTGAGTCGACTTGTTTCGGCCTTGTGCTATTTGAAGAGTTGAAGCACTCAATGCGAAAAACGTGCCGATTGGAATTTTGGCAGCACTTCTTACTTCACTGTTAAAGCGATATGACGCCTGATTTGTAGCATAGACTTGTAGTGAACATTACTTTGTTGTGAGTATAAAAAAGCTCACATTTTTCACTTTTGAAATCACTTTCGAAATCATGTTTGAAAATCACGTTTTTGGACGTTGAGAAATACTAGAAAATGCAGAGGCAATGATTGTAGAGCGCATAGAGGTAATTTGACATGCTGATTACGGAAAGGATTCAGCATTTCACTCAGCAAGCTTCCTTGTCGACCTCAGGATCTGTCAAGGTAAAATATGAAGATTATATTTTTGCTAACTTCGATTGTGGAAACAATCGGTATGCTGTTAACGACCGTCATTCCTTTAGGTGATTGCGATATTCACCGGAGCGCATTTCTCCTTCACCTTCGTAGTGTCTCCCCAACTGAACAAATTCTATTCTTAATCACGACCCCTCCCTTAATCTTACCCTCAATACGACCCCCCCCCCCCCAAGTCTTTCACGCTCAACCTGGTCTGGAGACAGACTAATTTTGGATGTATTGCTTAAATTGAGTTTTCAAAACTTTTTACATATAATAAGTTATGCTAAATTCAATAATTTAGTGTTGCTTGTCTCTACGCCGTGAACAAGTACTTTGTTTATTTTAGCCTGGTAGTTTTTTAGATCAAGAATGTTCTACCTGAAAAATATAAGGTTTGTTCAAGGCTTGGGGAGTTAGGTTGGTGGATACCTAGCTAACCAATACCCTTGCTTGAACGGCTTCAATTGTCCTTGAGCGATAACAGTCTCCACTGCTATTGACCTGGCATTTCAACTCACATATATGTAGGCATATAAGTTGCTCGCATTTGGTCTTATCTTTTTCGCTTGTGTGGGTACATTATCCTATATGAGTAGTTTTTTCGCTCATACGTCATCGAAGTACGAGCATTCTCTTTTGTTTCTCGAATGCCCGAGGAGACTGGTCTCATACCAACAGCATTTCATAGTTTAAATGACACACTTTGAGTGTAAAAGATAAAGATAGGGATAGTGACTTTTGGCCCGCAGAGGTGAATCCGTATTATTGCTTCTTGCAAAGTTATGGGTTCGTTTGACAGGTAAACATGCAAGCCATTGACTTCATCATAGAAAGTGAGCAAAAAGACCCTAAAATCTCGCAGGTAAGTCCTCCCACCAGATAAGTTTGCCTACAGATAAGTCCGCCATTAGATAAGTCCGCTTCTTTTCTCAGATGAAAAATAGAAGGATACGCAATCAAGCGGGCGGCACCAATCTCGTCTACATTGTCTTTTGTCTTGGATGTACAGGTTTAACGAAACAAGAACTGAGAAGAAGAACAAAGAAGCCTAATGCTTTGCTAGAGTCGAGTGTTTTTAGACTACCACTCTTCCGTTCAATAATGCATTTGACAAAAGCCATAGTGAAAAAGGAAAGCATTTGACAAAAGCCGTATGGCATGGGTCAGCAGAGACTACGTTCAGACCTTGTAAACAATAGAGGAAGCAAAAAGTATAGGCAGCCAGGTTTGAAGTTGTAGCCTGTAGGTTTGAGCGATGTATTGAGAACATTGTCGCTTTCGAAATGAGATACAAAAAACTGATGATAAGATGAGATGATTGCAATGATACAATGATGTGGAACAGGCGCAACGATCAACGTTCTAAAAATAAGAGATGCATGTGTTGTAGTTAGCCTACATCAAAAATCTCCCCTGCCTAGTATTCGCTGGCAGTGGGGTGGAATCCGACCTTACTATCTTGCCATCAACTTCAACAGACAAGAAATGTCATATTTAAGAAAAGAACTCACCTATCCAGCGTATGTGATGACGAAACCGCGACGGTACTGTCACCGTAGTCTGCACGGCTTGTCGAATCCATTGGCTCTTTCTTTCAGGGTTAATCACGGCATTGTTTAAATCTACATCGGCCTACGCGGGCGGTCGCGCGCGTCTGTGCCCCTAGGTAGCGCTTGCTCATGCTCAAGGCAGGCGGACTTATCTGTAGGCAGACTTATCTGATGGGAGGATTTATCTGCAAGACTTTTGGTGGCGCGAGGGCGATTTTTTATCGATTTTTTGTCAAAAGGCGGACTTATCTGTAAGGCTTTGGGCTGTATTTTTATAGGAAATCGGCGCCATTAAATGATGCGAAGATGGTCGATTTGTGAAGGTTTTACTCGAGAATTTTAGAAAGTTTTTTTGCAGGGATGTAGCTCAAGGTGGTCGTTGTTCGTATGGCGACTATCAAACTCTTGCAGGAAAATTTTTTCCTCCCAAAGCTACCGATCTTAGGTGAAATAAAAATGATTGGAATGGGTAGTTATTCATTCGTGTTGGCCAGATTGCATGCTGGATCTTAAAGCCACATGGGGGCACGAGAAAAGCCTGATAGTGGAACCAGTGCGAGTCTCTGCGAAGCAGAGGTGCTGCACTGGTACATAGATGTAGAAGTGAGCATCCAAGACCAACTGATGACAGAGTACTTTATTGGATTTTGCGAACATCATCTGAACACTTATACACATGTGCGTATAAACATAGATTTCATCCCATCTGAAGTTTCACTCGTTCATGAATTCAAACCTTGAAGCTTAGAAAGAATCGCTTGAGCTGTTTAGAGCAGATATCGGCCTTCTTCACAGTCGACGGTGGCATAGACAAAATGTGATGTGGTGTTCTTGGCTTTAGAAACAAAATTCCGCACCTAAATTACAAGTTGAGTCTATACATTCGTCAAAGTGATTGTTACGTACTCCATAACAATCTGCTCCAAAAATGATATACTGAACTGCAAACATCCCATGTTCGTTTCTGATTTCTCGTACAATATCATCATTGTCGTAATGGATGCCTTGGCTGCTGGCTATATCCTCCAACTGCATTAAGTTCACAGCATTTTTTTCAGTAACATAACTGAGCTTCTAAAGGGAGGCATACATACCATAGCATCTGCGACCTTGAGATGGTGCTGGTTTTGCGCTTCGTCATACTTCTTATTAGTTGTAACTGTAACAATAACTTCATCTAAATTACGTTTGCGTCGTAGAGGAGCAACTGTCGACGTCGTAGTACCCAATGTTTGCATGGTAGTTGGGGAGCATGCCTGAAAGCCTTTGTCAATTTGATTTGCTCTAGCAATGAAGATAATACCAAGGATGAGACCAAAATGATTTTCTTACCAGTAGCGGACTGCTCAGTACAAAAAGCAGCAAGGTATGCATAAGGGTAGGCGCAATTCATCATTGCTTGTACGGACCAGTTTATATACGAGCCGGATTGAGGCAATAATCATAACATTTCGGTTTACTGTGTTGATGACCTATGAGGCGCAACTGTAACGGCTTGTATCACCTTTTGTCGCATTGGTAGCCCTAGCTGATCATAAAATATTACCCGAATCCTATAATATTATTGGTGTCAGCCATCTACTGCTCAGGAACGTTGATAGTCAGGTCTTATTGCAAGCAATAAATTGTGGAGCGGAATCAAGCTGTTTCAATAAATGAGAAAAACATAACTGATTGGTCATAACTTTACGATCGCGTTGGAATTACTTGAGAGAAGGACCTCAAACGTTTTTAACACTTTTTTAGAAAAAAATTTTGAAACATTGGTAGATCCTTAGTAAATTTTTGTAATTTTAAAATAACGAAAGCACCGTAAGATAGCTTTTTGGGAAAATTTGTGACTTCAGAAATAAATGAGAATGTGCTTTACTTCATAATCGAAAACTAAAGTTTTAGATGTCGGATTCAAACAAAGATCCTGAATAAAAAGACCAAGTGGATGTTCAAAAACTTTCATCAAAACATTGTGTATCCAGTCTTTTGTTTTATTAGATACCAGCCGCTCCCTGCCGCTACGCTGCGGTTCGGCTGATACTCAGCAGCTCCGCTGCCTCGTGAACTTTTCGTTTCATTTTTACCTTTCACTTAGATGCGGAAATATGAAAAATCGCAGAAAATTTGCCATCTTGTGCGATTCAGACTTATAACCTGCGCAGAAAGAAAAACTGGGGGCGCAGAAAGAAAAACTGGGGTCGTATTTTCGGCTTTATAACTTTATTTTGACTCAACATTCTAAGCAACGTACATTACGCAAACCGTAAAAAACCAATGAATCAATAGAGGCAATCGGTAGGTCCCAAACTGGCTTATTAAAAGGCGCCCTATCCCATACACTATGTCTGCCAGACTTGGTTTAGATTCCATTACTCCTTCTGTCCTTTTTGGGCGAAAGTAAAAAACTTTCTAACCTAAAACTGCAAAATTCAATGAATCGATCGAGGCAATCAATGTGTCCCCAACAAAATGCTTATTGACACACGCCCCATCCTATACATTATTTTTGCTGAAGTTGGTTTAAATTCTGTTACTCTTTCTATCCTTTTTAGGCGAAGATACGAAAAGTGGCTAAGCCAATTATTATGAGTATAGATACTACCCATGCCTTTTCCCATTTATACATGGTCTGAGTTGTAAGTCCAATCAACAATACGCGATCAAGGTAGTTTATCTCGATGTCTCCCAACTTCGTTGTCTTGTTCAACTATTTGAGTTTCGGTCTCCGCTCGTAATCGTTTTCCTGGAATACCTGCTGATGGCCGATTTAGAAATGTGGTTTTTCTCTGCTTGTCACATGCCCGTACCATCGTAGTTTTCTCTTCTGCATCCTTTTGTTAATTGGGCAACCTTCATCGTGGCTGCTACGTCGTCGATGGTAACGCAGTCCATCATGGTATGGCTAAGTCCACAGCAACCTTCTTTTCTCCATCCTGAGCTTTCGTCCTTCCTTCGTGTACGGTCAACTTTCGCCACCATACAGCGCTGTTGGGCGTATTGCTATCCATCCGTGACTTGAGTTCTAGCGGCGTTTGTCACGCAGGATTACTGTGAAGATCTTTCCGAAAGCTGCAATTACTCCCTATTGAACAGAGAGGGAATGACGCCTGGTCGAAGCGACGATAGTGAAGACGATTTATCCAATGGGTAAAACTGAAGACGCTAAGCAAATGTACTGTGCCTTTTTTTCGTGCGTTTATAGTAGCAAAATCAATCAAATTCTTAAAAATGAAAATATCAGGCCAAAGCAAACCTGGTAAGCGTTGTAGGCTTGATATGATTCATCTGAACGTTTTCGAACGTCGTACAACCATTCTGTTATCCACATGTCGTCATTTTCCTTCTAGGCCACACATTATATATACAAAAACCCCTCATAACTTCTTACGTAATAATGCTTCTCAGACTTGAAAGGTATATTTAAAGACACGTTTTGAGCTCTATCTGCTTCTATGTGTCACTTTCTGAATCGTCACTTCATCTACGCGGCCTTCCCTTCTAAGTTCCTTGTAAACCGTCTACTAGTTGTTTATCTTGAGGTCGTGTTGATCTAGCTGAGATGTCGATATCTGCAGGTTCGTTTCCAGCTCCTTTCTGCCACTTGTCCTTCTTACAAGGTACTAACTTAGATTCGCCTTTTGAGGTGGGAGACACATTTGAATCAGCTTATTACGCTGATTCCAAATATGCTGTTCCTAGCTGCTTAGCGTTATTCCGAAGCGGGTTATGGGCTTGCTCTTGTGATTAACTAACGAACTTCTGAATGTCGTAAGACGGCTTGAAGAATCTTCTCGAAAAAGAGTGCTAGGATGTTTGACTAGCATCAGATTAATTCTTTCAACCTTAAAAGGGAGTATTATACATTTGCAAAACACCTAGACGTCGACACCGCAGCATCAGTAGGTCGAGAAGCACGCACTTGCATAGAAAAGAGACTATAACTCGCTTCTGAATAAGGCTAAGCAGCTAGGAACAGCATATTTGGAATCAGCGTTCCAAGCTGATTCCAAACATATGTGTCCCATCTCAAAAGGCGAATCTAAGTCAGTATCCTTCCCTTGTTAGATCATACCATCTGCTTACAAGAGAGCGTTTGCGGTGATTGGCAAATGAAGTCCCTGACTATTGCTAAACAATCTTGGAAGAAAAGGAAAGGTATGGATTCTTGTTTAGTAGCTCTACAAAAGTCTTCTGATCGTTTCGCTGCTGTCTGTACAAATGGAGGCATGGCACTTACTGTATCAATCTTATTTTTTAAAAATATTTGTCTGGTAATGTTCTCCGCAGTGAACGCAGCATGCACCTCACATTGCTCTTCCCGTCCTTCTAACTTTACTTTAGCGGTATGAATGGTATAATGGTGTTACTGCCTTTCACTAATTTGCATCGATTGGTTGCCAGCTCCACTATACTTCGTGGTTGTGTCTTTAGTTTTTTGAAATTTAGTGTGTGGCTAACACCAGACGGATCGGTTGGTAAGTATTGCATTCAACCACGTTGCTTTCCATACTTTATCGTCATGCTTCTGTATCAGTCGCTTGACATGCTCCTGGACTCTGGTGTTTGACTTACAATTAGTGACAAATACAATATTCTAGCCTGCCCTCACTTTTCCGGAACACCTTGGCGATGTCATTTGCGCCTGTTCTGGGCCTGTCGCTCTATCCGCTTTTAATCTTCATTGTGCCCATACAGACTTCTTGAAATGGTGTAATCCTTGAACTGAATCTGTTGCTGCTGTAAATGCATATTTGTCGTCTTACCCTTTTTTGCATATTCGTAGTCCAGATGCCATTCTCATGCTCGTCTCTCTTTTACCTGCTGTAATCCCCTCAGTACTATTCCGGGTACGTCTTTGACGCTGCAGAAGCGCTCTATGTCATTTGTAGCGTCTGCTCTTTTTCTGGCGATCCGGTAAACTTTTATGAGTGCGCAGTTCCCGTACTTCTTCGTCAGCTTTAACGCTGCTATCTGCTACACGTTTTCGCCTAGCACTCCTTTTGAGCCTCCTTTTATCTTAAATTTTTCACGATGTCAAAGCTGTCTTCTCACACTTTACGAGCTGTACTGCGTCGTTCCCCCCTCCCCCCTCCCATGTTTGCTTGTCCAGCTTCGAGCTTCCAGGTTTCGTGCTAATGTAGATCTTCAGCGGTTTGGTAGGCGCTGCTGCTCGAGCTTCCCATGAGCTTTCTGAATATATCTAGCTTCTAGCATAGAGTTCTTAGCTGCTTTGGCATGAGGTCCTCTTTGGGCGTTAGTGGGCACTCTCCGCATCAAATGGCGGAGGGCAAAATATATAACCAAAGGATGATCAGATAAGAAATCCAACAATAAGATCTTGAGGCAAACTTGCTAGAGCGCTTTCCCGTTTTAATTTTTAGAACCTCTCAAAAGTTTTGCAATAAAGCTATAAAGCTATAAGCTTCATAGCTTATTTAAAGCTCTCATTAAAAGCTTATAACTTTACGTCAAATCTTCTTCGATGTATGCTCTTTAGATTTTTACTCTCAAACCAAGCGCAAAACTCAGTTGTTTTGTTTCGGATTAATTTTTCGGGGTCCCGCTTTTGTGCCGAATGAGTTTGATGATTAAATTTGTATCGGACCCCGCGAACGTAACCAACCTCGTCAACTTCTAAATGCTCCATCAGCAGTAGAACGCCCCCCCCCAATGTGTACCAGTGGCGTACCGAGGAGGGGGGGGGGCGCCCCCCCCCCCCCGAGAAGGGTCGCGAAGTTTTTGAAAGTTACTTATAAGGGTTATAAAAATGTGTAAGTGACTTGTTTATTTTTGTAAATAATTAAAATAATTTTTAAAAATTTTCAAAAATTCAAATTAGCCTTGTAAAAAAATTTTTTTCGGGGGCGTGACTGACGCCACGCCCCCTTTTTCCAGTTTAGGGGTCGGGGATCCGAAAAAATTTTGGGAGGCACCCCAAATTTTTTCGGAGTGCGTGGCTAACGCCACGCACCTTCTTTAGAAAAAATTTTTTGTTGCCCCCCCCCCCCCCGAGCCGAAATCCTGGGTACGCCACTGTTGTGTACATATCAAGCGTAGCTATGATTGCAGATACAACAAATGTTCAAAAATAAGTGGTATTTGTAGTTTTGCTTTGCGAGCTATTTTCTGCAGTGGATCTTCACTGACCTGCAATTTCGAACTAAATCATCTGTCTGGAAAATTGAACTGAAATTGCCTGTGCTTTTTGTTTTGCGCTGCTTTTAGTATAAGACGCCTCTTCAGAGGATTTATAAATTTATATATCTGGTCTGAGTTCAAAGAAAAAAACATCACCCATTTTGTCACTAGAATACCAAGCTTTGCACACACACACGCGATTAGCAACTTAATACTTGTGCTTTATTTACTTCTTGTAAATTACAGGCGGGATTCAAAAAGGACCAAAATTCGAATTGTTACACAACGAATGCGTTAAGGGCCGGGCATACTTCACGCGATTTCAGTCGCGACGCGATTTGGCAACTTGCCATAACTCTTTGGATCCAACACCATGGATTGCACATGCATAGTGCGTATAACTTACCTAGATTGATAGAACGCCCTATCTTCTGTACATTTAAATTTTTTCAATTTTTTTGTGCCCTTAGTGATTTATGGGCAGTTGGAATCAGGGTCAAGCTTGTGATGCGACTGTCGCAACGGGGGGTCGTAAGAGGGTATCTAAGGTGAGGGGGGGGGGGTCGTAAGAGGAAGATAGTTAGGCTAAAATACACTAGGCTTCAAAGGGAATCAAAAGCAGACAATTAGTTATGTTCTTTACAATTCTATAAAAAAGTGGAAATCAGAGAAAAAAAAATAAAAAATCTGTACAAATTCTCAAAAATAAACATTTACAAGAGCTCAAAACACTTTTGAAGGATATATTATTTGATAAAAATGCTAAATGTACCGATTGCCCTAGAAATCTTGCTTCTGAAGCCTTCCTGAAGTCTCACACACTCGACAAAAGCGAATGTCTTTACCAGCTGTGACCATCATGAATTTCTAAATCTTTTTGAAGTGTTTTTCACGGGCCAATATGATTTGTCTATACTTTGGAGATGCTCTGCTATATCAGTGCAAAATTTGGTGTCATTTTGTCAACTGTGGATTTACTTATGATTTTATGTATGGTAGCAAAAGAGAAAAGGGGGGTCGTATCTGGATCGCATCTAAATTTCTCCGGAGCTATTGAGGCTTGTTGCTGCAAACTTGCTGTAATACGAGGCCATCCCTCTTCTGTCATAAGAATTTCAGTGTTTGATAACTTCTCCGGTGAGGTACAAAATTCCAAGCTCAAAAATCCCACTTTTGCTTTTTAGGATCGCATCTAAATTTGCGAGAGTCGCATCTAGATTTTTTCGAGCTCACTGCTCCTCAATGACTGAAACTTTTTCCATGACTAGTATAAGCACTATGCTACAAAGCATGTTTATTGCAGCCTCTCAGTCTTTCCCTGCCTTTAGTTACGAATTTTCAAAATGTAGTGCTCATGCACGTTTTTGACATCGTTCTGGACGGCGCTAAAACAGTTTTTTCGCACGAAAATCTGTGCAAAAGATAGAAAATAAGCCTTTTAGTCGAAAACACATTTTAAGCTTCGAAGATATCGTTTTTTCTCCCTTCAAAAAAATGGTGTCGCGTACGGGGACCGAATCTGCTGGCCAGAAGTTGCTTGAAAATTCAAAAAAAAAAACTTGCAGAACCCAAACATTATTGAAGGTATGTATGCGTGCTACAGATGCTGGGCGCACCCATTGGCCTAGAAATTTTGCTTCCAGAACCTCAGCGAAGCCTTATACACTCGACAAAAGCGCACATCTAGATCAACGATGACAATCAATAATTCGTAAATTATTTTGTAATGCAGTTTATACAGCACTTACAATTTATATGTACTTTGAATAAGCTCTACTATTACAGTGCGAAATCTGGTGTTATTTTGTGAACTGTGGATTTTCTTATGATTTTATGTATGGTAGCAAAAAGTCAGGAAAGGGGGGTCGTATCTGGGTCGCATCTAAATTTCTTCGGAGCTATTGAAGCTTGTTGGCTGCAGTTCCGCTGTAATATGAGGCCATCCTCCTACTTTCCCTCATAAAAATTGCAGGCTATTTTATAACTTCTCTGGTAAGTTAGAAAATTTTAAGCTCAAAAATCCCAGTTATTGCTTTTTAGGATCGCATCTAAATTTGCGAGAGTCGCATCTAAATTTTTTTCGAGCTTACTGCTCCTCAAGAGCTGAAACTTTTTTCACTGGATAGTCTGGGCACTATACTACAGAACCTGTGCTTTGCAGCCTCTCATTCTTTTGCTTAGTTACGAATTTTCAAACTACCGTGCTCATGCATGTTTTTGACGTCGTTCTGGACGGCGCTCAAGCGGTTTTTTTCGCGGGAAAAACTGTAGAAGAGGTAGGAAGTAAGCTTCTTAGTCGAAAACATCATTTGTAGTTCAAGAATGTTATTTTTTCTCCGTGCAAAAATTTGTGTCGCCTACGGGGATCGAATTTGCTGGCCTGAAGTATGCCTGAAAATTCAAAAAAAAACTTGCAGAATCTCAAACATTATTAAAGGTGTGTATGTGTGCTACAGATGATGGACGCACCCATTGGCCTAAAAATTCTGCTTCCGAAACCTCACTGAAGTTCTCACGCAGGTGTTTTTTGAGATTGACATTCATTTATGCAGGTTACCGCGAGGAATGTGGGTAGGGGAGGTAAGGGGGATAAGTGGGAAAGTGGGGGGTGGGGGGGGGGGGAAGGTGAGGGGGGTCGTACGGATGGGTACCTTCAAGGGGGGGGTCGTAAATGAGGGTTCCGGATCGCATCAGCACGTTTGACCCTGGTTGGAATATGGCCAAATCGCGTTGCGACTGAAATCGCGTGAAGTAAAAAGCTAAAGCTCAAAAGTTATCGAGGTGTTATCGAGGTCTCTAGTTCTGACCGAATTATACCTGGTAAAATTGATAAGTGATAAACAAGAATGTAAGCTCATTTACACGGGTAGATTCATTTATTACTTTAATCTCGCAATGTCTACTGCTGGAATTTACAAAACATGTCTAATCTTTATCCTGGGTGTCATGGGCGTCAAGGCTTCGCAGATAAGTTTCTTGAAATGAGGTCTGCGTTTAGATCCAGTCTGAGTAAGCGAGCGTTCAAAGTTCGACCGTGCCGCCTGAGTCAAAGCCCGGAGCATACTTCACACGTAGTCGTGACGCTTCGCAGCACTCCAGTTTTTATAACTCAGTAAGCGCATTCCTAATGTCCAGAAAAAGAAGTTTCATAACTCTGCGGAAGAAAGTACGTCCTCTGCATTGTAGGCCGCGCGTGTTTCTAAAGAGCAGGACATACCCGTTGCGAGGCAATCGTTGCGATTCGTAATCGCTGGGAAACTAGCGACGGAAACGCTCGACGGATCGCTAATTGCTCGTATATGGGGCATACCGAAAAATTTGTGCATACTCATACTACACTAAATTTTTTTGTCAGTTTGTGGTGTCGTTAACAAGTAAGAAACAAATGACTAGAGAAAATCAATACATTCGGAAAATACTGGACTCGTTCGCACTTCTTATGCAAAAAACTAACTTTAGAAAGTAAAGGACCATAATAAATTTTTTCGGGAATAAGTCCCAATCCAAGCGATGCGTCGCGTCGCGCATTTGAAATGAGCGACACGATTTCGCTGAGATGAGCGACGATCGCGGTGATTTTGCTCGAATTGGTATGGCCTAGCAGAAAATCAGCGATGCGTCGGGCCGGACAGCGCACGTATTGACGGAAATCTTACGCACGTGTAACACTTGTTTTTCAGAAATCCTCGCGACGCGATGGATCGCTGACCGTATGCCCGGCCCTTAACACAATGGCAGACCGCGTGAAGTATGCCCGAGGCCAAACTTGACTACCGTGCAGTAAGCGAATATTTTGAGGCGTCCCATGCGAGCCTTTTGGACAGGCAGTCAGCATGTAAGTTTTGCGTAGAAATGATGTGAGCAATGTCAGGCGCGTTGCCGCCGTCTTTGCTTGAATGATCTGATCAGCGATCATTCAGTGTTGGCGCTAGCTGTCTACCGCTGTTCCGTCACTCATGTTGAAGTCTTTTACTGTGTTGAGCGATAAAGCAATCAAAAGTATTAAAGCTTGTGTCTGTCTTAAATGATAGGTCAACTAAAAGTGAAATCTCTTTGTTCGCTAATCCTGCGGCATAACTACGTTACCTTATTTGAATCGCGCGTCAAGTCTGCTTCGCACTGCTTCCTAATCACACCCTTTTCACAGAAATCTGTTTTGCATCATAAACAAAATGTATACAGCTTATTACTTTGAAAGGTTTGTCATGTAAGATGTTAACTTAAAAAGGGAAGAGCCTTCCAGCAAAAAAAGAATGAATCTGTTCCATGGCCTTGTAGCTTCCTATGGATGACTAGCTGACATCTCGGCTTCGCTCGGTCCCTCTCGATATATCACAATAGATCCCTTTGAACTTCACCTCGCCTCTTTTTTGAGTGAAGCATTGAGCTGACCCTAACTTCACTAAATGTATCAGCTCAAACTAAAAGTTTGCGAAAAGTCAGTCTCTATAGAACCCTGTTGTTCGTAGTTAGCAAAATCACTACTCTTTGATTGAACCATAGTCTCCCTGCGTTGGTTGCGAAAGTGGATAAAATTGATAAGGACGACCGATGATTTTGGAGGATGATTAATTAGTAGTCCATGTTCACTTACCCGTCTTGCCAAAACTCAGCCACCAGCTTGAAATTCGCTATAAGATCAGTAATGCCAATCAACCTTTTCTTTCCACACACACGCTCCTGAGCAGCAAACATTTATCCTCCCTGCACATCTTTCGGTTTTACTGCATCCTGCCGACTTCGGAATTGAGATGAGCGTCACCGTCCTTTGGCGGAGTGCGATGAAATGGGTTTTCTCCTATTAGGAAAGTGTCAGAACTCGCACTGGCATTTTGACATGAAATAGGTATCATATTAAGCAACTTAAAGCGCTCAATCCAAAACAGCCTTTCTTGGCTTCAGAACATACAGTCTGCCCCAATCCTAGCCAGGCCAAAATTGGCTTGGCAGGAGTGCGCGTCGCGAGGGTTTCGCGCCACTTCTGCGTCTAGCTAGTCTGCTCTCTCCTCAATCTCTTCGCTCTTTGCGACAGCGCGCGTATGCAGCGCAAACCCCTAGCGCTGCGAGCGCGCAAATTCAGCCGACGGTTCGGCCTGATCCCGATTGGGGCAGACTGTATCTCGCTTGTGAGTTATCGAATTTGATTTGCAAAATTAACAACGCAGAGACTAGCAAAGTATCAAAGCCCATATATTTTGCTTTTAAACATCGATGAAACAGTTCATCTATGCTTAATTACGACTCTACTCTTCTTCCATATTATACTTAGTCCTTAACAAGCATTCAAACGGATCTCATGGTGAAGGACTCTAGACGTTTCAAAATTTGGTGATTAGAATGCCATGCCTGCTGTCACAAACTTGTTCTAAAGCTAAGAAAGGCTGCTTTGAAATCAGCTGTTTAAACTGCTTCAAATGATAACGCTTCATATCAAAAGGCCACTGCGACTTCTGACACTTCCCTTGTCAATGCTTATCGACTGCTTGCAAAGTGTAGATTTCAGCGTGGAAAAAATGAGCTCTGTTTCGGTTTGACCGATGAGAACGTGGAGGATATGCAAATAACTGGGAAAATACCATCAATACTCTTGATCTACAATGACGTATGGATTTTTCAGGATGTAATCAAAAAATTTTCTGTTCCTTCATTTAGACTGACTTAGATTCGCAAGATATCGGATGTATATTGCGAGCTGCAGTGAGTAATGAAGAGATACATGCGGCGAAAATAAGCGATTCTCCTTGTATGCAGCTTTTGACTGTAAGAATAGTGCCATGTCATCCGCCAATAATGATTGATGTAATCATTGAGATCGATGCAAAACCAGACGAACTACATGTGATTGTTACCCATGGTTCACCAAGACTGCCACTTTGTGATGCTCAAGTTTACGGAGCCATTCCCAATGTCATAGAAGTATGTACATCTTGTAATTACTCATTCACTTCAATGATAAACATTTTCCCTTGATCAAATAAAAGGGCCACCAGTAACAGCAAGATGTTTAAAAAACCAGATTTATCAGGTGATCGAATCACCTCTCATTTTCAAAGTCATTTATCTTCCTGAAAATTCAATGAAAATGCTGCAAAATTGTACTGAGGATATACTACGGCACAGCTAAACATGTTTTTAATAGAAATAAGTAAAATCTCAGAACATTAAAGTCTTCGATAAACCACTGCTCGCGAGCTAGGGATTACCAAAAAATTCACAATTTTCAGATTCCATTTCTCCTGTCGACCTGCTTGGCAGCGCCGTAGTATATCCTCAGTACAAGTTTGCAGCGTCTTCATTGACTTCTGAGGACCCGAGTGCATTTACCCGAGTGCGGAAACTAAAGTGGTGAATCCTGGGCCCGTAGTAAACCCCTCGTGGTTGTCACAACATAGAGGGACTATGTCGTGATAGCTCGGAGTATCTCGCAAGACTATAGCGAGCTATCCGCAGGGCGCCGCAAAACGAGCGCCCCCGCGCGTCATTGAACCGCCGATGACCGCGATAACAGCGGTCACACGCGCTGCGCTATGAGTACAGATATGCCGTGGGGTATTTGCTTAGCAAGGCAAGAATGTAGTATACTATGCTTGCCAGAGCAGGTAAATCAATCAAAGGAAATCCAATAACTAACTATCCTCGTGTGTGCGCGCCTCTTTCTCCATATTTTGACTCATTATCTCATGTTCATCAATATTGATAGGAAAACGCAGTTGATCTATGTCTGTTGCAGAATTATGCTTATTTTTGTACACCATGCTGTAAGAAGCGCCATTATCCGCTATGGCAGGACCATATTTGACTGTTGCTCTCAATAAAAATTGAGCGTGTCAGCCAGTGTCAGATTCGTGCCAGCTCCGTGCCAAGACACAGATGGTCTAGCAGCGCGCACATTCGCTGCGCTGTATGCTACTACGCCGTGCTTTGCTAGGGAGAGGATACATGTAGCAAATAGAGCAGTTGCAGCAAATCAGTATGGGGAAACGATATGCATGCCTTATCCGTAAGTATTGTTGAAGGGTTAGCTACTAATTTTGCAATTATTGTGAAACAGCTCAACAACTCAACATAGCTTGTAGTTAGCGCAGTGCCAGTGTGAGAGGCCGGTGTGCTAGACGTTGGGGGTACAAGTTCCAGGCGACACTATCTTTTTTGCTGGCAAACTGAATTTTGCAAAGGAACGTGAATTAGAATTTTCTTTTTGAAAGAAAATGGAATTTAAAGTAGAATACATATTGAAAGTGTACAAGAAAAATCAAAATATTATCATCATCATTCAGTCCGTTCAAAAGTGGGCTATTCCATTAGCCATAACGCCAGACGGTCCTTTCTCATAAACACGAAAGGAAACGAGAGGTGCATGGCTAACGAACAGCAACCAGCAAAGATATGTGGTCGAAACTGCCAAGAATGATGAAAAGATCAAGAATTTGCGAAAGTTTGGCACAAAGAAGGGACTTTTTGCTCAAACAAGGTGCATAGCAAAAATAAAGAAGAAAAACTGCATAAGTACGAAAAATATGGCTAAGTATGAGTCTAACATACTTTTTAGTTAAAATAAACTCACCTTTTTTCAAATACCAAAGCGGCAGCAGCAGAAGTACTTGGAGAATAGGGTGAGGCGCATTGCTCGAACAGTTAGGCACTTATCAGCTGTTGATATTGATTGCGGTTGACGTGCGTTATAGAGAACTGTGTGCATGTGCGACCTATTGCGAGGTTGGCGTAGTCGAGCTCTAGTCTTGCGCTATGTCTCTGCGTCTCTATGACGGACAAAGTATTTCGTTGTTCGTCACGACATGTCGCAATATGTCGCTATATGTCGCGATATGTCGCGACATATCGCGACAAAGTGCGACTACCCTGACGCTACGCATCGATTGCATCCGCCGGCAATGATAAAGGATAGCCGCTTTGCCAGCCTCGCTCCATGATAGTCAGCACATGTCACAGCATACTCCGAGCTATACGTCACGACGTCCGGGGGGTTTACTACAGGCCCTGGAGCCTGTCCTTCCGTGCTTTCTTTCATCGTGTTCGTCAGATCCTTGTGGCGCATACACCTCCATCGTAGCCTTGACGAGCTCTCGTGTTCGCTTTTTTTAACAGTCTCCAGAGCTAAAAGTTGCGAATATTACATTATTAGTTGGAAGACTAGCTCTCCGGCTCTTGCTCTTTTGAAGCCCCACAGTTGCACGTCGGGGTAGACCCTTTAAAGGCTGTGTTCAGGCAAATCTGTGCACATGCATTTTTTGCCTGGACACTGATGACGAAATTCTAGCTAAGGCATTGCTCAAACTGCAGCGCAAATAATTCATTCACGACTGGGGAATCCATCCCAAACACTCCGCGGCTGCGCGGTGATCGTAACACTTATGATGGGTTCCAGCGCGAACGTAGTGTTAAAGTGAGCGAAGTCGTTTCCGGGTCACGGTCACTGCGCAGGCGCGGGATTTTTGGTGAGAATTTTTCAGCCGTGAATGAACAATTTGCGCTGCCCCTTGGGCAATGCTTTAGTTAGGACCCCCTCATCAATTTCCAGGCGAAAGAGCCATGCGACCAGATTTGCCTAGACACTGCCTTTGAGCTCTCGAGCTCGAGTCGAAAAGCGCGACTTTCACACACCTCAAAAACCGCAGTATGTGACATTTTTGAAAAAATCATCCTGTTTTAAAGAGCATTTGGTTATTTGAAGTCTGTAGCCAACTTTCGGGACTGCATTTTACAAGCACACTTTATTTGACGCAGTTTTTGATCTGAATGGGCCTGTTAAAAGGCCATAATTTTCTTAGGCGACGGGGTGTCTGACTCCAAATTTCCACTGTAGAAGAAAAGTTCATGTACCAGAAAATTCAAACAAAAGAGCACTTTGTGAATTTCGAAGACAGATGAGGTGATCAGGCACAAGGCTACAAAAGCTCAGACAGCCTGCCTTGTAGGGGGTTGTGCCTGATCCCATTAACTTTATCTCAGAGACTTTTTTCACCCGGATTTTATGTATTCCCTAGCACAAACCTCGAGAAAAACACCATAAGTTTTAAGGCTACCTTGATTTTAGCGATGTACTGATCAGTGAAGCTGAAGAGCACTGAAGGTGAAAAAGTGGTGGTTGAAATCTTGGCAGCACTTCTCAATCCACTACGTAGCGATATGAAATCTAATCTGTAGCATTGACTGATAGAAAGTATAGTTTTGTTATGAGTAGAAAATACCAACTTTTTGCTTTTAAAATTGAGTTAATCATGTTTGAAAACCACGGGCTTTTCTTCTTCACCTTACTCGGTCGTGTGCTAATTTTTTCAACGAATTCGCTTCTTAACTACGACCTCCTTCCCTTAGACTTATCCCTATAAGATCCTTCAGGTGGGCACGCCTGACCCCACGCTTAACTCTGGTTTTACTAACGAATTAATAATAAGAAATTGTGACCTTCAGTATAGAGGTGCAGACTCAAACATTAGGTTATAAGTTACTGCCCACACATTTTTTGTGACGCTGTCTCTGACTCGCTCTCTTATATGCGCTTTAGTGAGCGCGCTCGTTTTTCGATGCTTGGATTAACTTTTGAGTAACAAACACTCTTGTAGCAACCTATACAAATATATGAATTTGCTCCATTTTTGAAGGTACGCTTTACGAAAACGAGAAAAGCAATTGACTACGTTACTTTCAACTTGATTGCAAATGGAGGACGTATGAGGTGAGCTTTTTAGTCTGTATAGATAAAGTTGTATTTCTAAAGCGGTAGTGGTTAGGTCGAAAATATCATATAATGCGGTGGTTTAGTCATGGTTACATATTGGTAACATGACCATCTTCTAACGATCTCTTGCTTCCGGTAGTACAAAATTAGGGAACAAGCACGTAAGCAGCAGACTAATATGACTGTTACATGATTGTTTCGTTTTGAACCAAGCTACGCAGTATCTAGCATTTTAACTTTATTGTTTTGTGACCAATAGAGTAACAAAAATAGCACTTCATTTTATGAGATGCAGACGTGAAACCATCATATTAGGTCATCCCAAAAGTTTTTTCGTGTTCGTACCTTCAAAATGATATTTCTTAAAAACTAAGGCATCTAGAAAGATGCAATTTTGTGGGAGTATTCTTGAGTGAGTAAGCTATGTAATGACACATTTGCGAAGAACATAGACTCATTATAGGCCAAGTTAGAAACTGTCATTTATTTTTTTTCTCGATTTCTAGCCGCCAGAAAAATGCAGCAAGTGTATCTGTAAATGTCTGATGGGAAAAGTATATGCGTGAGCAAGTGGGAACTTTGCAGAATGTTTCTGGACTAAGATACGATAATTTTTGTTTTTTCGGAATTTTAGACTTTTTCCATTTTGTCTTGAAACTCGATGCGGATCAAGCCTAATACGAAATTTCGAAAGCCATATTGTAGAGCTTGCTTTAATCTTTCGAGTGGTACCTCGCTTCTCATCAGAAGTCTAAGAAGAGCAGACTTATGCTGGTGAAAACTCTGATACGAAAAAACTTTTGGGGTGACCTAATATTATTGGAAATGAAAATTACCCCCGCGACCGTATTCATCACTGATACCTTGAAATAAACTCTACTTCCAGATAGTTTTGTCACTCATTATCAGCAAAATTACATTGAGAATTTACCTCAAGGTACTTTTGTAATGCGGTTACTTGCTGATAATGGGTGATAAAACTACCTGGAGGTAGAAATTACCTCAAGGTATCAATGATGAATACGGCCACTGAACCACTTTTCAGTTAAAACAAAGATGTAATGGTTTCACAGGCCAAGAGGAGTGAAAGAAATCATTCCAAAGTCACTATGAGAAAGCTTACTTGGTTACAGCTTAGACCAGTCTTCAACTCTGCTCCGCAGAGGTTCGCACTGGCGTCATAAATCGTAATAAACTTACTCTCTGAGATTGTCTCTTAAATCATTGTTCGGATGATTGCAGCGTGAGAGCCTTAGTCAGAAATGAACCATACTCGCTGTCTTAATCTCACATGATGTTAAGTATCGTAAATCATTTTTCACTGTAATTTCGTAACGGACAAACTCCACACAGCTTCAAATTAAGCCGCTTATTATAAGTCACCAGTGCATCACCTCCGCTTCGCGGAGGTTCGCACAGGCACTCCTATCCATATGCCTTTCTCATGTTCGCATAATGATGACTTTGAAACTTACCGCGTGATGCTGAACATCATAAAATGAATTGTAAACAACTGCTCATTCTTAAAGCATCTCCACGTAATATCGGTAATTTTGAGAAAGAAATCTTTTTCGCAAAGGAACATCTGCGAATTCGAACGAATTACCGAATTTATTTTGGCTTGGTAGCCGTCATAAGAATAGTAGTCAATTTGGGCTACATTTCAGTGCAAAAATCTTTTCAAAATTGAAGTTAAAACCTTGCCAAATCGACTATCTACGCGATCACCACTTTTTGGCGCTGTTTTCGCAGAAAAGCAAACTTTTTGAGCACTTTTTGGGTTAGAATTCATGAGACACAGATTTACTTGTCAGACAAATCATGGCTTTGCAAAAAATTCAAATCTGGACTCAGCTTTGCCTACTTAGAGCCGTGTGGATCCGCTTGACGCACAATTTTTGTAACATCAACGCAACGGATCCGTACGAAATTTTGCATGATAGGCCTAGATGCTGGCAAGGTGCTATGGCCAAAACTTCAGCTCAAGACATTTGCTGGAACTCGCTGTATGAATTTCGTGACAGACAGACGTACACACAGACACACAGACAAACAGACGTAAACAACCCTTAGCCCGTTATTATTAAGTTATAGATGATAAGATTATGGGGGTGGAGGAGGGGGAAGGAGGGGGGGGGGGGTTGCAAAGCTAGAAGGCCAACAGCAAATTAGGTGAAGTGCAATGAAGGAGGTCAAGCAGAAAATGATTGATGGCTTGATCCCTTGTTGATATTTCTTTGCTAAATCTAGATGCAAGGGGAAATTTGCCCATCATGTTGTTTCAACTGGTTTCCTCATAGTTTCAATGAAACACACACACGCACACACACACACAACCCACACACATACACACATACACACACATACACACACACATACACACACATACACACAACACACACACATACACACACAACACACATACACACACATACACACACATACACACACATACACACACATACACACACATACACACACATACACACAACACACACATACACACACAACACACACACATACACACAACACACATACACACATACACACACATACACACACAACACACACACATACACACACATACACACACATACACACACACACATACACACACAACACACACAACACACACACATACACACACAACACACACATACACACACAACACACAGACACACACACACATACACACACATACACACACAACACACACACATACACACACATACACACACATACACACATACACACACATACACACACAACACACACAAACACACACAACACACACAACACACACACACATACACACACAACACACACAAACACACACAACACACACAACACACACACAACACACACACAACACACACAACACACACACAACACACACATACACACACAACACACACACAAACACACACAACACACACAACACACACAACACACACACAAACACACACAACACACACATACACACACAACACACACAACACACACAACACACACACATACACACACATACACATACACACACAAACACACACAACACACACATACACACACAACACGCACACAACACACACATACACACACAACACACACACATACACACACATGCACACACAACACACATACACACACATACACACACATACACACACAACACACACATACACACACATACACACACACATACACACACATACACACACAACACACACATACACACATACACACACAACACACACATACACACACATACACACACACCACACACACATACACACACATACACACATACCACACACATACACACACACATACACACACAACACAAACACAAACACACACAACACACACACATACACACACAACACACACACAACACACACACATACACACACAACACACACAACACACACACACATACACACACACACACGTAAACAGTCCTTAGCCCGTTATTATAAGGTCTTGGTACTTGTGGACGTAAATAGCCAATATCCTCATTATCGAAGAGTAGAGACACTCATGAGTGCCATATGACTTGAAACACTTCTTTACGCAAGTTTGTACTGTGCATGCCTAAATTCAACATCTTCACTCTCACTCGTCCCATGTGCTTGATTATGTGGTTGAAAAGAATGTGGCTTAGAAGACTCTAATTCAATTTGTTTGTGGAGAATGGAACCCAATAAATACAAAGTCTTGTAGTCAGACGCGGCTTGTATACCTCACAGGACCGCATTGGCTGCGTTTACAGAAGTGAGCAAGGCTTACAGAGGTTGCGCTTACGTTTCTACACATCTACACGCGTACAAATCCAATTCTACTTACTTCACAGTCTTGCTTCTCTCCCACTTTCAATTAGCAATGAAACTTACCTACTTAGACACTTTTTCCGACGGCCCGCGCGCCTTGAGCGTGCGAGCGCTCATGCCTCCCGCCGCCCGTAGAATGAAGGTACGCGGCTCGCTCGCCTAAGGCGCGCCGCTCGCCTGCTCCTTCGGAAGCGTTTTACGGCCCTATTGTGATACAGATAGCAATCCGATGATAAAATTCATATTGTCTAACTAAAATACGACCTCATAGTGTTAGATTTATTGTCAATGTATACAGATATGATAATGGCAGATTTATTATCCAAACACTTACAGAAACAACATAACACAGAATCAAAAGCGGACTCAACAGACAACAACTAGAATATCATCATAACCTTTTAAGCTTAGCACCCTGTTGAAAACATGTAAGGCCCCGGACAGACTTTACGCGATTTGATCGTCGCGATTGAATCGCAACAAGACAACTGTTACAACATCATTCCATGCCAATCAACTTGCATTCGGTTGTGAAACAATTCCAGCCGGAAATTTTTGAAAGTAAAATGGAAATGAATGGAAGTCGCGGCGATTGAATCGCGACGATCAAATCGCGTGAAGTCTGTCCGGGGCCTAAAGCACAGCCATGTTGATACTGAGAAGCACTGTTAGGCACCGGTAAGAATGACCTGTCTGACCACTAAAGAAACCTCGTGAACCTGGTAAAGTAATGACCAGTGACTGATTAGGTAGTAAGTACCAAGATCTGCATAGATGCTTGAATCAAGTATCTGTTCAAGTAATGGTATGTCGAGCGAAAGATAAGACATGCAAACCCTGAGCAAAGAAAACATAAAATAAAAAATAGACGAATCAATTTGTTTTCTCCGGAAGAAGATGTTGGGCTGAAGGAATTTTGGCAGATGTTGACGAGGCATGAAATGATGACTGTAATCCTGCTACATACTCCTTTTTCAGATTGTTCAATCTTTGGCTGGTGCGGCACGTTTCTGGCGCTGAAAAAAGTGTCAAATTATCATTTAAATATCCACAAATTCTCACCTTATTGGCTATCCATTTTCCTGACTCGTAATTGTAGGACCGTATATCTCTTGTGAAATCAAATTCTCATTCACTGTGAAATTTGTAAAGGATCTTTGGACTTGCAGAGCCATTTGGAGGGACTTGAATAGTTGTGGCCGCCAATCTTGGCGTTGTTTTCTTAGCTCCGCCAGCGCTTCCATTTTTCCTTTTCGGTATCTCCAGGGTTTCTGTAAAATCTGAAATGCAAATCCTTTGGTTTTTGCGGATTCTGTTTTAGTCACTCACAGACTGATTCAAGTCCAGGTTATTCCATTGATCCAACTCCTCGTGCCCGTACCCCATCATGTCATCACCGAAGTCTGGAAACGTCCATCGAGAATGATTATTTCGCCAAAAGTGATTCCTTTTATTGACCTTTAAGGATCCCTTCTATTTCTTCTGGTAAATTGAGCAACTCCTCATCCCGTCTAGCGTTTTGGTTCAAGCGGATGGAGTAGTCTTTGATTTTGTCGGCAGGTTCCGTCATCTAAGAACTCCTTATGTAAATGAGGTGTTTGCATACATCATGACTCACCCGCTGGAATAAAAAACGGTACAAGGAACATAACTGTTGAAAGAAGTTGTGCCTCGGATTTCCTTGCCAATCTTTACAGACAATTGTAAGATCCAGCTAAAGCGTTCACTGGATTACTGTCGTTATATTCTAATCCAAAACATGAATGAGAGACCTTTTTGACGGGCGGGTTCGCCTGAATCTGCCAAAACTTGACACACTCGTCCACACATATGCAGACTTCATCTGGTACGCACAAGTCACGTGTTGGCGTCGATTGTTCGCTGCTTCCAATTCGTCGAACACTTTTTGCTGTTACAGCTCTCGAAATCTCGGCCTAAAGCAGGTTGAGCAAGTCGAAGCATATATGACATCCCAAAATGTGCAGCCGTACTGTCATCCGATTAGCAATATGCCATAGCGAGTGGATGTCCGATCCTATCATGCGATTCAAAGTGCCGTAAGTGACTTTAGCGCGTAGTACGATATCGGATCTGATAAACTCCTAGAAAGAAGTAATTTGTATGTTTTTCTCAAAATCAGTGTACTCGTACTTACGTAGTGGACCGCTTCGTTGAACTCTTGGCGATGCATTTTCGATAAAATTAGACGGGCTGCCTTGTCAATATGCAAAATTCCGTTCTCAGCACATTCATGAAGTGATCTAGGCAACGGAAGAGGCTGAACTCCTCGTAGAGGAGTTTCAATCTGAAACTCGCGTCTTTCGTACACGTTACCTGGAAAAACAAAGTCTAAGAAACATAACAAAAAGGAAAATAAGCAAAAGCTATGAACCTTGTGGAACTTCTAATTCCATCTGGAATCTGAGGAAGCCCCTTCGTTTTCGACAACATTTTCCACAAAAGCATTCTCTCTACTGAAAACGAAATTACTAGGGGTAATAAAACCAGATAACAAACATATCCAATGAGACATGGTGGAAAAACAAGTCTAGGCTTCGCATATGTTTGTGGCCCTCCAGATTTACGCTTGAGACTGATTGCATCCCTATAGGGATGCCGAACGTTACAAATGAAGTGCTAGAAAATGCACACTGTAGAAGCTCTGCCATGAGAAGTCGGTGAGCTTAGATGAAAAAAGTTCTGGCAATGAAGAATGAATACGTTTTTCGAATAATTATAGAACCGCTAATGAAATGGTAGCTGCTACGAGAACAATGACTACTATGTGCTACATTTCTGAGCAAGAATCTTTTCAGATTATTGAGGAAGAGATCGAAAAACTGGGGATTTACTCAGCTATCTCTTCTTGGCGCCGTTTGAAATGAGAAAAGATTTTTTGGCAACTTTTTTTGGCATCGAAGCTTATGGCTCACAGATTTGCATGGATACAGAGCCATACCTTTGCAATGACTGGTAATACAGGTATATGGGTCGAAAGCCATGTGGACCGGTTTCCCAGGCAGATTTTGAGGGATACGCTCAACGGATTCGATTCTGGTTTCGCATATTGGACTTCTATGCTGGTACCATGCTCTATGCAAAATTTGAGCGCAGGAGGTTGGCAGGAACACGCTCTAAGAATTTTGTAACAGACACACTCTCACACACACACAGACACACAAAGTCACGTAAACATCCTCAGCCCGTTATTATAAGTTATGATATCAATTTTGTCGATTTTTCTGCGGGTTTGAGCTAAGGGGCTGGGAGTTGGCACAGGGGGGTAAGTGAGCATGCTGATTACAAGTACATATTGTGGGCAAAATACTGGCCTGTAGAGGTGGAATCGGCAGTTGTTGTACGGTATAAGGCATAGAGATATTCTATCGGTGTAGTATTGACAGCGTCGGGCGGAGGCGTACCTTACAAATGTTTAGATTCGATGTACCACTCGACGACAATACCGCAACTCCATTAAACTTGTTGTTGGCATTCCGTGCTCTCATTCGAATAGTGATGAGCGGACGACCGTATGACAATGGAGTAAGTTAACCTGCATGTAACTGCACGTATTCAGATGGGTGTCACAGCTATGTGCGCGATAGCTCATCCGGAGCCGTCAAAACACACGTTTGTTTCGAGTTTCTCAGCAACTAAATAGATACAGTAACAGTCTATCTAGTCAGGAGCCGAAACGTTGTGTTGAATTTGGGCGATCGAATGATAGGCCTTGCGGTGCATGTGCGCATGACAAGCTGTCTGAGAGGTCGAAGAGAATAAGGAGAACATAGTCAGGTTTTATCACGATCGCTTGCAATAAATTGGGTTGTCGCGCGTTTCGGCAGTCGTCAATGCCAGAAGGGATTTGCACTCTACAAAAGCGAGGTTTCCAAACTACTAAAGTTTTGTCATCACATCAGAAATAGTAAGGGTGAATTATTAGTTTACTCCCGGAAGTACTAAACCAATTCCAAACTTTTTTCCTGTTTTTTCTGTTTAGTGACAATGGATCAATACGCGCCCGACCGTTTCCCCAATAAATTGTAGACATGACCCAACCCATGCGGCGTAGATGCGCTTCCTGGCTCCCTGATTTGGATTGAGACAGAATGTGCATGATGATTGTAATCAAAACTTGATTACCATGAGAGGACTGAAAAACGTAAACTAATCTGTTGAACTGTAATAATGCGCACATAGTAGCGTCACCCATTTGACCGTAATCATTGGTTAGAAAAATAGAAACGCAGATTCCTGATTTCCACCGATCAAGCCACTTACTTGCCAATCCTGCACTTGGACGAGCGAAAGACAAATTTCTCAGAAAGATTGAGGTAACTCCAAAGTTTCTTCGGATCGCGATAACACCTAAGTTCTGCAAATACATCTTCCACGTTTGAGATTGCTGCTCCAAACACTGATGTGATATTGTGTAGATCTTACAAGGGAAGCGTTTTTGGTCGAAATGGCGTTTTCAAATGGGACTCATACCACTTTGAAGAGCATTGCACGGTGGCTCCGAATGTGCCTTCCTTATCTGCCAAGCATCCCTGGACGCCGAGTTATGACCGTTTTTTTGGAAAGAAAATGATGCAGAATTTAGGTAAAAACAATTGCTACAATCTCTCCAGCGCTCAGATAAAGCAATGTTAAGTATTAGCAAACTAGGCAAAATGTATTCGTTGCATGAGCTGCTTTAATACTCGACACCGGACTATTTAAGCAAGTTTGGGCGACTGTGCTCCAATTTTGTGTTCAGTTTTTTGACCCGAAAGGCATCATAGCTCGGCGTTAGAGGCGCTTGGCAGATAACGAAGCCAGATTTGGAATCAATGTAGAATATTCTCCTAAGTGATATGGGTCTCATCTGAAATTAATCCTTACTCTCTTTCCAGCGCTCAGATAAAGCAATTGTATTAGCATATAAGACAAAATGTATCCATTTGTTAAACTGCTCTGATACTCGACACCGAGCCATTTGAGCAAATTTAAAAGGTTTTGTCCCAGTTTTGCCTTCAGTTTCTCTGATTCAAAAAACGCCCATAACTCGGCGTCTAGAGGCGCTTGGCAGATAATGAAGGCAGATTTGAAATCACTGTTTAGTACTCTCCAAGGCAGTAATCTGAAAAGGTCATCTCGACTAAACACGCCCCTTGCAGATCTTATGTACAGTCTGCTCCAATCCTAACCAGGCCAAAATTGGCTTGGCGGGAGTGCGCGTCGCGAGGGTTTCGCGCCACTTCTGCGTCTAGCTAGTCTGCTCTCTCCTTAATCTCTTCGCTCTCTGCGACAGCGCGCGTATGCAGCGCAAACCCCTAGCGCTGCGAGCGCGCAAATTCAGCCGACGGTTCGGCCTGATCTCGATTGGGGCAGACTGTAGACGGTTTATTCAAAGATCTCAGTAGACGTAAATGGTATTGAAGTTGGAAACGGACTTTTCTTTAGCTGCAGGACAAGGTTCTATATGTCAAATTTCACACTGTATGACGTAACCTATACAAGCGACGCTATACACAAATAGACTCTTATTTATCCATGTGACAACAAGGGTAGCAGGCAAATGTTCTCATAGCCTTTTAGATAACACTTCCATTTTCTGCGAATTGCATGATCACCTATATACCAGTATTTATCTTTGCTTCGGCCGTTTCATTTTTGCTCGTAGTTCCATGTGTAAGTTTAAGAATTGTCAACTTCATTGCCGCTCATTAAGTATAAAGACAATGTTGAAGGGATCCTCACAAGCTGTTCAATTCGATAGTGTCGAAGTCCCCGATGATGAGATTAGACCGGAACAACTGCCAAGTCTTTACGGCATATTGAGAAGAGATAAAGGAAAAGCTGGATCTTCAGCGGTAAGGTTCACTTGTAATGATGCTTCAAATTAATTAAATAAAGATGCTTGTTATGTAGGAAGCAAAATCGCAAAGCGGTGGTACTCCTGAGAAAAATACAGAAAAGAACGCTTCTTCAGCTCCAGAGACGAGCAAAGCTGAAGGAGGCCTGAATGTTCAGCCCACCATGTAGGTTATTCCTATCTCTGTCATACAAAAAGATTTCCGCAAGCTTCATATACTTTTCCGAAATTGGTGAGAGTGTGTGTTGAAGGCAAACGAATGCGCAATGAAAGTGGAAATCACAAGTGACATTTCTTAAAAATCAAAGGTGGCAAAGGCGTTTTACAGGCCATTTGCTAACTTTGTGCCGGGCCCTGATTTGATTGATTGGCCACCCGCGCCCAATGTTTTCGCGAGGAAAGGGCGCTCTAAATGTTTTATTGGGACAACCGCGGCCTAGAAGAAAATATTCGGGCAGCCACAAGCCTTCCTGGACATGCTACACATTTAGATTTGCAAGCCTTATTTGCAAGCCCCAGATCTTAACGGAGTATCGGCAAGCCAACCCATATCCGGCATCCGTCCATACCTTATTGAGGTGAAGCGAGCATTAGGCGGGTTCATATGAACCCCATGTTCCGGAACTGTTCCCGCACAGTTCCCGCACTGTGCTAGAACTGTTCCGGAACTGTGCTGCATGCGCTGCAGCCGCCCCGCACCGTTCTGAACGGCAGGAGTTAGAGAATTTTGACCGTTTTCAACGGGTTTTCTTTCAAATTTCTCTCATTTTGGTTTCATTCCTCTACCCCGCTTCCCCTTCTTGATCAGCGGAATCGAACTTGAAGCGGAGCTGAAGAATGGGCACTTTTCTGCTCTGCGTATGCGACAAAACGCGTGTTCTTGTGCTCGTCCATTTTCTCTTCGCTTTGTTTTTACTCAGACCTATTCCATTTGTTCCAGGAAGCGCTGTGTACTTTCTATAGCCATCTACTACCAAATTAGGGAGTGCGGACAATTCTGGAATTGCGTAAATTGAGACTATTCTATTGTTTTCTAAAAAGTTTCGTTTTTGGGCATTCTCATCCTCTTTCCTTTTTCCATATCGTTGCTTCTCCGTTTTCTTCTACTCCGCTTTTCCTTGTGATGAAGGTGTGAACTTGAAGCGGGGTTGAAAAATTATCCTTGTTCTGTTCCATGTATCCGGGCAGATTGGTCTTCGTGCGCTCGTCCATTCTCTCTCGCTATTTTTGTTCAGACCTACTTCATGTTCTAGGAAGGCGCAGAGGATGAGAATGCCCAAAAACGAAACTTTTTAGAAAACAATAGAAAAGTCTCAATTTACGCAATTTCAGAATTGTCCGCACTCCCTAATTTGATGGTAGATGGCTATAGAAAGTACACAGCGGCTTCCTGGAACAAATGGAATAGGTCTGAGTAAAAATATAGCGAAGAGAAAATGGACAAGCACAAGAACACCCGTTTTGTCGCATACGCAGAGCAGAAAACCGCTCATTCTTCAACCCTTCAAGTTTGAAGTTCCGCTGACTAAAAAGGGAAACGGGGTAGAGAAAAAAGCCAAAATGAGAGAAATCTGCAAGAAAAACCGTTGAAAACGGTCAAAATCCTCCAACTCCCGCCTTTCAAAACGCGTGCGGGCGGCTGCAGCGCATGCAGCACAGTTCCGGAACTGTTCCAGCACAGTGAGGGAACTGTGCGGGAACTGTGCGGAAACAATTCCAAAACATGGGAATCAGTATGAACCCAGTCTTAGTAGGCACCCCGCACATTATTTTTGAGCCCTTCTAAACCATGGCCCAATGAATTGTTTGAGGAACCCCCGGTCTTGCTGGACGTCACACTTCTTACGCGCAAGTGAAAACGTTATTCGCGTGAAATACGTTGCAGTATGGAGTTAAACAGGAGCGTACCATTTATTCTGTGCTTGCCGACATCTGTGTGGCGTTCGGACGTTATCGGGTGCTTATAAGTGCCCTCGTGAAAGTCATGCCTCCTTCATGGTTGATGTTTAAACTTGTTTTTTGCAGCTCCGCTCTCTCTAAATGAATTTTCGGAATCAGTGCTTCGGATTGCCCCAACTAAGCAAAAAAAATCTATATCAAGGATTTGCCGATCCACTTGCCTTTAAAAGGCAATGACTGTGTAAGGCTGGGGTTTGTCGGATTCCAGCTCCATGTGGCGGGTGCTCGCCATAACTGTCAAAGTGCGCGAAGGAGTGTTCCAAAGCGCCTATTTTCACATGGAGCTGGAATCCGACAAACCCCAGCCTTACACAGCCATTGCCTTCAAAGGCAAGTGGATCGGAAAATCCTTGATATAGATTTTTTTTGCTTAGTTGGGGCAATCCGACGCACTGATTCCGAAAATTCATTTAGAGAGAGCGGAGCTGCAAAAACCAACTTTAAATCCCTTCATTTTGAATTTGGAAGAGCGAGACGCCCCACGCTCAGGGATTCGCTCCGTGCGGGCGGGTTGCCACGCCGCAGCAAGCGGGCGCCGGTGTTGCGGGCCGTAGCGGTATCGCAGCGCGCCCGCATGACGGTGGGTTGCCGCACGCACGGGGGTTGATAATTTTAGACACTTATTCGGGGTTATTTTTGTTGCTTGTTTATGTGTGGTGCTTGAATGTACTCCATTAATGCGTTAAATGTGTATTTTGTAAACCAAAACATCATAACATTACAATTCGACAGAATCGCGCAAGCAAGAATGTATAACTGTCCTGTAAAAGAACAAACTAACATCATGAACAAGAACAGAAAGCAAGACAAGAGACAAAACGAACTGTCAATTCCTATGCTGCACGTTACAATCTCTCATATAACATTTGATATTATATACAAATATAACACAAAACAATAGTGCGTAAGCTTGCTTCAAATTCTGCGTTTCCGCTCGTTTCTTAAAGGTAACCTTCATCCAAAATAGTTATTTTTTCCATGCTCTGAAAAATAAAACTGTCAAACAAACACAGCACGCCAACAGTGATATAAGGAATCACCTTTGCTTCGATCTTCAGCCTTTATCCATTTGTATTTTGCTGAAAGTAATTGCGCATCTCATTAGAACAAATAAGATTGCTATCATACCTCGTTGTGTGATCCAATAAAGACATCTTTGAGGATCTAGAAATGAAGGGTTTTCTGATTAATGTCGTAGGACCACTTCGAATAAAACGTCGTGCTATCACACCTATCCTTCGTATCCGCTGAAAGAATTGGGCATATTATCAAGGCAAGCGACTCAAGGAACCATACCTTGTCGTGTAGTCCAATACAACCTTGAGGTAGTAGAAAATTTAATTGAGTGTTCGTGGCAATCGATGTTATGGGTTCCATGTATAGAAAGCGTCGGATCATCACAAGTGAGCGTAGGCAGAATGTCACACATCGAAATGAACCCGAAGTCTCTATGGTAAACGTCAGTTATGGCAAAGGTCAATCAATGAATGACACGGATGACAAAAAACTCAAACAAAAATACCATGGAAAAAGACGGGGTCATAGTATCCCAGAATGCTCTAGCATCAATACTGAAAAAGAAATACGCATGGGAGGGCGATAAAACTATTGCAGCATAGCATCCAAAACGATCACAAATACAGCATAAGAGAAGTCCTACATAAGCTAGAGAAGATTCAAGTATAGAAGCTTTTGTTATAAAACAATCTCAAAGGAGAAAGTTAAGAAGATCTGCGCATCAACTACCGTGCCTTTTCTTTTTGAAACAGTCCGTAATTGCCCGTCTGGGCAGCGTTCCTTTACGCGCTGCCGCAGAAAAGACATGGTCCCGCTCGCATGCCTAAACTCATGCGGCGCGCTCGCACGGGGGCTCGAATGACCCTTCAATTAGGCTGCCCGCACGCACGGAAGGGCTATTTCGCAGCCCGCCCGCACGACCCAATGCTCTGAGCGGTTAGAGACGCAGAGTCGTTTCGGGACCCTTATGGTTATAGCATTGCAGCATGCCGCCTTCACCGCATGAGAAGGAAATCGGAGCTCGTCTGAGCGCGTGTGAGAATGGCTTGCGGCACGAGTTTTGGGACAGTTTTCTCGGAGGAATCAGCATGCTTTACCCTCGGACTTGCTCTGTTTTCATATCTGTGGTGTAAGCAATCCACCATATCAATTTTCCGAGGTGTTCAGTTTTGGCGAGCAACTGCCCTCAAACGAAGCAACTATTCCCAACTTTACAATATAGTTTACGTAGATATCATTCATTCTCTGACTAAGAGACGCGAGCAAGCTTTGCGTAGCTTAATGAACAAGTTTATGAATGAGTTCTAGCCAGGGCCCGGCATGCGTTGGTTTGGAGGCTTTTAGAAAACGAAGTCCCCATGACTTCGCGAAAATTTACGAAGAATTCACGACGTGAAAATATGTAGGGGAACCCTAATTCAACCATAATAGCAACAAAGCGAAAAAGCGCATTTTGATTATGTAATATGACAAAAAAGTAAAAAGAAAACATTTCGAGTCGATTAAAGGCTCTGCCATTGGGTATAGTACCATTTTGATGCTGGGAATGTCGAAAATCTCCTAGGCCAACCAAATCTGTAGCCTCAACAATCCTGCGATGCATTTTTCGCCACATATTTCAAAGGACACCGCAAGTGATTGGAGCGCGATATCTATCAACGCGAACAATTATAGAACTTTTGACTCAAAAAAGGGGAGAGGCAACGGTTTGATCCGCTCTCTTCACTATATGATAGATTTTTGACCGTTCTAATCGTCCAAATTAGAAAGGTCCAAAACTTATGTGAAGATATTTATGCTCCGAACCAACCCAGTTGGTTTGGTAGTTGGTCTAGAAACCAACAAATTCGAGAACGGATATTAGGACACATAAATTTTGGGAATTTTTTACATAACATAGTTTGGACTAATATTGTATACACATAGCCCAAATTCGGAGCCATGTGGTTGTTTGTGCGCTGTAAACAAGCCATTTGTTTGTTTGAGCCTTGCATTTGAAATTCGCGCGCTTGCGAAAGAACACGTTAACTTGTGAGACCTGATATGTTCGTCGTGTTTTTTGGCGCTTTCTCCAGGACCTCATAAAAACGATGTCCCCGTTGCTTCTAACTCCAAAAAACGAAGTCCAGTTTGACCCCAAACCATCGGTGCCGGGCCCTGGTTCTAGCGCACTAGTTACTATCAGGAATTAGTAAAAGAACGTGTTCAAGTCAGCGTGTTTCAACGAGCTTAAACATGTTCTTCCACGAATTCTAATAGTAAATCAGCCAAAACGCGTTAAATCTCATTCATGAATTTGCCAATGAAATGTACGCAAAGCTTGCTCGCGTCTCCTAGTCACAGAATGAGTGATGTGTAACTTTGTATACTAAATTGATTGAAATTGACAGATCAACATACAAAAGTAATACTCACTTCAAATAAATCAATTTCGTATGAGATACTTGCAGTCTAATTTTTTTCTAGGAGTGACGAGGTTCCGAGTCCAACCCAAAGGTCAAGTCCAATACAAAATGTACCTCCCACGGCTAATCCTTTGATAATTCCGGTGAATACACTTGATAAACAAGATCACAAACAGCCTCCCAAGCAACCGCTCAAAAAACCGAATAAATAGTTTTTGAACCGTCATTTTACCTCTGAAATAAAAGATTTTGTTGCATTTTTTTGTTGAACAATGAATCCCTTGATAGGTCCACTAGGACCAAAGTGATTCATCGCTCCCGTTCGCAGCTGATTGTTCCGTTCGTGCAAGCTCTTGGGAGCATAGGTGCGATAGGGGGAGCCGGGCCCTCTCCAGGTGAAGGGGGTCTCTGCTACTTCCATCCTTGTAAGGTGAAGGGGGTAAGTGAGTCCTGAGAGCAAAATGTCCCAACAAGTTACATACCATTCGAAAACTGAGGTCATATAGAATCAACATAGACCGTCGGCTTTTTCCTAGGTCTTTTGTGCCGCGAGATATGAGGGATTTTATGTACTTCATGTGTCAACTAATTTTGTGTTCTCACTTTCTGCTCTCCAAAAGAATGCTACGAGAAAGTCGACGGTCTACCTGCTAATGAAGACTTGCTCTGTAACGCAGATAGATAACCAGCAGATTAGGTCTTCGTTGCAGTATATCTCTCGATAAAGGGCGCCTAGAAAGAATTCGACGGTCTATGTCGAGTCCCCTTTTCTTGAGCTTTCGAATGGTATATAGACTGCTGAGCGAAAAAACTTGCCAGTTTTCAAAAATGGTGTGGAGGTATTTACTATTAGCTTGCTTCACCCAGCTCCCCCAATGTATTGGCTTTTATCGGTCACCAGAGTAAATGCTTTTTAGAGCCGGGAAGCAGAAAAGCCCTAATATGCTTCACATTGTTCGAAAGCTGAGATTATGGAGAATCGACGTAGACCGTCTCTTTTTTCATAGCTTCTCTGTAGAGCGAGATACGAGCGATTTTATACGCCTACTCACCAGCTAATTTTGTGTAATTATTTTGTAATTTATTTTTGAAAGAAAGAACAAAAATTAAAAAAAAAGAGACGGTCTACGTTTACTGGCAAGGTCTTGCTCTGTGATGCAGTTAGAAAATCAGGCACCTTTATCCATTCTTCACGCAGAAATTTCTCGACAAAAACACATCTTTTTGGCTAAAATCCCGTGTAACTCTAAGTAGAGGGGAGCTAGAGAAAAAGAGACGGTCTGCGTCGAATCCTTTTTTTGTGGGCTTTCTAATGGTGTACAGGTTGTCGGGTGAAAAAACTTGTGGTTTCTTAAAAATGAGGTGGAGATATTCAACAGTAACTTGCTCCACCTCGCTCCGGCTTTCTATGGGTTGCCGGAGCAAGACTTTTTTGGACTGGGAAAGCTTTGTGCACCAACACCTTATACACCATTCAATAGCTAAGAACGCGAGGAATCGGCGTAGACCGTCTCTTTTTTCGTAGCTTCTCTGTGAAGCGAGATACGAGCAGTTTTATCTAGCATATCAGCCAATTTTGGATAATTATATTTTCCAACCAAGAAGGTCTTTATCGAAGCTTTATATGAATCGAAAGCATGAAAAACGAGCAATCTGGCTGTTGTTTTGTTTGTTATTATTTTCTCTAGTGAAAAGAGATATGGTATGATTTCTTATCAGTAAACATGCATCCATCGCTAATCGGTTCAGATTTTTCTACTCTTGCTCAACTCTTTTTTGCAAAGTATGTATTCATTGATACAATGTTAATTATTCAAAAAATCACCTTTTACTTTTTGATTACGTTTCGTTATCAACGCCCTTTGAGCGCGCAGAAGGTCTCAAGCATGCGTTTTTTAACGAAACGTTGTTGATTCGATACTCTCTTGCAGTCTTGATGTCTGAGGAGAAGAGCAGCTGGCGTTTCCTTTCCAAACAAAAGTTCCGTTGTAATAGCTGTTTGCCTTGATTACTTTCAACCTCAGGTGAAAGGGGTCAGCCAGATGCCGGCTCTAAAGTGAAGAGGGTCAGAGAAATTTCTCCACCTATCGCATCTATGCTTGGGAGCATTTTCACAATGTTTGCTTCTGGCTCAGTTCGAGAAGATTACAGGGCGTCGAAAGGACTAGTTGTCCGCGATTTGCTGAGTTGAGAAAATATTTACTGAGTATGATTCGAACTAGTAGCGTAACGGATTATTTACGTTTACGCACATTAAAAATAACTCCTATCGCTAAGTGCCGTTAATTGTTGAGCGGTTTCGAAAACTTTGGACCCCTGAACATAGGTGTTAGCAAGCACTTGTGAAGCTTTGTGTAAAATCAAATAAGTTTTGTAGTCGCAGAGAAAAGACTGTTGTATTGTGAAAACCACATTTTTCGCCTCCTCGCTTCTATCTTATATAAAGTCGTTGGATTTAGCATTGTAATGAGTCTGTATTTAAGACTCCTTTGTTTTGTTGGCCCAATCTTTCGGTAACAACGGCATTCTGTTGGCAATGGGCTTAGCTCTCATACTCTAGAAATTTTTCGTACATCTTTTACCTTATCGATACGGATTAGGGTAGTGATCAAGAAGCAGCTGTACTAACTGACTATTGCTCTAATCAACCATATTTCTTTAGAAAAGCTGCTGGAGAATGAATTGCCTGATATTGAAAGCCCTGAGAATCCATTTTTCCTGAAAATCTGCAATGTTAGTCTCTCCTGAGCGCCATGTTTTGAGTAATTATAGTGATCTATGGAAGGTAAGAAGGATCACGGTAGGATAATGTGGTAGGCTAACCAAAGAGCAGAGGTAATTACAGATTTGGTTGCAGATCTCGAACTGTGAAATTTGCTAGAAAAATCAAAATTTTTGTGCGGAGTTTCGCCCTTGATCATCATGTACAAAAAATCCTTTTCAATGTCTTTCTTATCAATACTTCATACCTGCGAAACCTTAGAAATGAAACTCTACAAATCACTTCGAAAGATTTCGTAATCCTATGTTCTCCAAACATTACGCTGTTTTTGCCCCCCCCCTCCCCCTCCACGAAACCAAAAACGATGCTGCTGCTCTCGTTACCGTGTAAATGATAGCCTACCCAAGTTGATGAATAAATAATCTCTAACGTGTCTCGAAGTTTTTCATTCTGTTTTTCCCAAACTTCTCATTTTCACACAAAGGACACACTCACCTTCGGATGTTTACATTATCGGGGGGGGGGGGGGTGACCCTGTGCTAAGATTTTCACAAAACTCCGAGTTATGCAGGATTTGTGTTTCTTGAAGAGATTAGAAATAATTCAATCTATCAGAAAGTATCAAAAACCATTCTGAGATTTCAGTTTTATACGCGTAATATGTAATTTGCCTGAACAAAAAATCATTCTGCTTTACCACTATTCATACTCATTGTAAAATGTAACATTCATGAGCACACAAAATGCTTTGAATTGATGATTATCACTAGGAGTGATTGACAAAGTTCCAATTCTGCTGGCTGCTCCTGTTTTTAAGAAAGCAAAATCTACACAGATAATTTCAAATCTCCATCAAAAATGTTCTAGAAGGAGAGCGCTGGACAGGTAACTTTTAAATATAAGCTATATAGCAGCACTCTCAATGCATTTTGTGTTTAGAACAGCTTGGAGCTTTGAAATTCTTTCGAAGCTTGCATACAGCAACAAAAAGCTCGCAGGTTCGCTACCATATCTCTAAAATAACAACAAAGCTAAAGCTAGCCTTACAACTTTGGTCCAGAAGGTCCAGAAACGAGAGAGCTTCAACAACCATATGTAATTTAAGGTCCACGAGGTCCAGAAACAAAAAGTTGTTGACAGTCAGAGATAATTTCGAGCATTCTTCTTATTTTTGCACGACAAAGCTTGGCAGTCTGAAAAGCAACGTCTAGCCGGATTCAGGGACCTGATTATTTTGGGGTCTGAATGAGGAACCCTCTTTGGGCTGCTGTCAGAGCTGCAATTTTTAGATTTTTATAACTCAGTCATGATCAAGAAATTCGAATTCTTCTCGCCCGATACCGTACTTGAAGAAGCCAAAGGCTCGTCGGAAGAGATGCGGTAGTGGGCAGAGATTTAGAAATGAAGATCTTGGTCAAGACTGAACCATCCAACTTCTAAATTAGAAATTTATTTGAGGCATCCTCAGAGCTCATTTGCAGAATATAAAAATTTCAGGTTTTCAAAGTTAGCCTTGACCCTACGGCTGTACAGTTTGATCATGTCTATTCTGACTTGCTTTCACCTTCGAAATTATTCGCCCTATGTTTTTCATACGTGGGAATTTATAATGTCAACTAGTTTCTGTAACATGCCTTTCCCTTCTCTTTCTAAGGTTGAGCATTCGATTCGCAATAAAAAATAGACAATTTTTGGTTTCCCATGAACGAGCTCAATCTAAGCATTTCAAAGCTATCGTTTGATGGATCGGGATTCCGAAGTCAACCTTACTATTGCTTTTCTTCGCTGCTGTGCAACTTTGCTAGCAAAAAATCAAAATTCGGAGTTTTTTAGCCTCGCAGGTTGTAAAGGGTATGTGCGTCTACACATAAACGCTGAAGAGCTGTTGGGCTGTTGTTGAACAAATTGCTTTTTCTACGCCTTCTCACCTAGTTACAGGTCACCGACTGCACTCTCAAGGGTTCGCCGTCGAGCATTCCGAATCGAGCTGTTAGCAGTATTTGTTCAAAATATGTACAACCAACACATACTTTACTGATCCTGCTCAAAGTCAAACTTTTTCATCCAAATTTGCATGTTCTTGATTTTTTTCTGCAATTGCGTACCTCACAGCTTTCGCTGCAGGCTCACAAATTTGACTCTCCTCAGCAAGAGGTCACCTTTTCCAGTTTTGTCTCAATTGCGTACCTTACAGCTTTTACGGTTATGATGTACAGCGTAACAAGGTAGACAAGTTTTTTGTTTGGCTAACCTTTTACTCGGCCAGTTTTCTTTGCTTTTATCTTTATAGACAACGAATGTCATCAAGCTTTAGATGAGTATGTGAGATAGTTCCACAACTGGTTCCGGGGTTCCACAGTCCGGGCGTTCTCGTAAACCACGATTGTTTACCTTTTTATTATCTATGCAGGGTATTCTTTGCTTTGTTCGCGTTGCCAAAAAGACCTTCTGCAAAAGTTCCTCAGAAACGGCTGCAACTTATATTAGGTCGGTGCAAAAGTTTTGTCAGTTTTTTTCAGTCCGGCGGCAAACAC